TTCGTCATAAAGCAGCGAGGCACTCCTCAGCTGTTCCGTGGGGAATTCCGAGTGGAGCCTGTGGCCAGCTTTGGGGCACATTTGTTCCCATGAGCAGTGGGGCTGCTGCGTGTTCTCAGGAGGGCAGTGGTCCACCCGTTTAGGACTGCCCGGAACAGCAGTGTGGGAAAATAACAGGCAGGAGACCAGATGCTCAGAGGCTCTGGACAAGGAGCTGGTGTCTGGGGATCTAAATTATCTTGACATTGACACTGGGGCAGCCATAGAAGGGGAGGGCCCTCGGAGGACTATGTTTTTGTTTTTGTTTTTGTTTTTAAGATTTTGTTTTTGGAAAGAGGGGAAGGGAGGGAGAAAGAGAGGGAGAGAAACATCAAGGTGTGGCTGCCTCTCAAGTGTCCCCTACTGAGTGCGGGACCTGGCCCAGAACCCAGGCATGTGCCCTGACTGGGAATCAAACCAGTGACCATGTGGTTCACAGACCAGCACTCAATCCACTGAGCCACACCAGCCGCAGCAGACTGTGTCTTCTTGTCTGAAAACAATGTTGCCAGGTGGGCCACGAGGCCCATTTTACAGATGAGGATATGGAGGCCCCAGGAGCCCAGATTCAACTAGAGACCATGAAGCCCGCATGGCCTCTCTCCGGCCCTGCCAGGGCCCTGGTCTGCGTGCCAGGTGCTGTTCTGGGCACGGTTGGGCACACGATGACTCAGACACAGCCCAAGGAAGCTTGCAGCCCGTTACCTGGCAGAGGGAAGAGCTTGAGGCTTGTGCAGCGGGAGGGGCTGTTTGGAGGTGTGAAGGGGCAGGAGAGGAAGCAGCTGCTCCACGGGGGCGGGGGGTGGATGGAGGCAAGAGCCCCCAGGTAAGACAGCACACCGGGAAACAGCACAGGGCAGACAGGGCTCAGGGCACGGGGCTCGGCCGGGCCACGAGAAGGAGGCGGAGAGCAAAGGCTTTGAGGGTGGGCTGGGAGGGGAGGGCTTCAGCGCCTGGGCCCGTCTCTGAAGCACTAGTGAGTCTATGCAGGCTCCAAGCAGGAGTGACAGGTGCAGCTGGCAGGTGCCTTCAAAGGGGCCGAGCCAGATGGGCCTCTCGGGAGTGCTGTCCCACCTGGAAGAACCCCCTCATGGCGACAAGGGGCAGGAGGGGAGTGGAGGCTCAGACGCTATGTTAATACTGTGTCCCAGGTTCGGGAGCCCAGAGGCACAAGCAAACTGAGCTGGCTGTGGCTGCCACCTCCTCCCGACGTCTGCCTGGACTCAGCCTGCCCTGCAGGCCGCCCAGGGACTGAGTCACCGACAGCACGTCTTCCCGCTGGCCTTCCTCCCGCCTGGCCTGGGACCAGGGGCAGCTGCTGCCGCCACAGGACATGGGGGTCGGGAGGAGTCACGACCTGGCAGAGAGATGTGCTCACACAGTGAACCCCCAGGTTCCCCCCCCAAAAAACCAACCATGTTGACAAACAGCCTGCCTGGTCCATTCCTGGACTTATGACAGCCTCCTGCTAATAATACCTCATGGTCCCCCGGGCTGGCCCCAGGTGCTGGGTACTCACCCCCTCCCCTCATCTCCTCGGTCACCATCTAAGCCAATGACAGCCGCCTTCCAGGTCTCCCCCCAGCCTCCCGCCCTCCACCTGGACCAGGACAACTCGAGGATGTCACCTGGCTCTGGAGCACAGTGGCCTCCCTGTCTGCGTGGCCCGCACCCACGTCCTCGCTGCCCTCTCGTCGGTCATCGCAGCCCTTCCCCTGCATCCGCACAGCCCAGCGGCCCCACCGGCCTCCACTGCTGTCACCGGGCCCAGCCCGCCTCCCTGTCCACCGCACCCCCTGGCCCTGGCAGCAGAACGGGGCACCGCCTGCACTCTCACAGCTCCCTGCCCACACCCTCTGCTCAATGGCCAGCCCTGCTTCTGCTTTCTCTGGCCTTCCAGGCCCCCCAACCTCACAGCCACCAGAGGGTCCACACGCCACGTCCACATGCCCTGCCTCAGCTCCTGCAGCCCAGAGCAGCTCCTAGGGCCCCTCCCACAGCCTCAGGGCTCTTCCTGCGGGACACGGTCAGGTTTTCTCCGAGCAGAGCACGGGGTTTCCACCAGCACCCAGACCGGGGCGCATCTCCCACGTGAGAACCCCGTACCGGAGACGGCTGTTCCCTTCCCGGCACGCCCAGCTGGCCCGCCAAGTCCTGGGGCCTCGGGACCGGTGCTCACCTATGAAGGTGAATGGAGGCCAAGTGTCATACCTGCTCGTCCCCTTCCGCGGCTTGATGCACACGGCACAGCCACTGTGTATCCGGTGGCCAGGCCACAGCCACAGGGCCGGAGGGCCTGCGTCCCCATCACAGCTTGGAGGAGGGCTGCCCTCTGGTCAGACACAGCCAACCAAACTCTCCACGATCAAGAAACACACTTCTAGCCCTGGCTGGTGTAGCTCAGTGGATCAAGCGCGGGCCTGCGAACCAGAGTATCATGGTTCGATTCCCAGTCAGGGCACATGCCTGGGTTGCAGGCCAGTTCCCGGCAGGGGACACACGAGAGGCAACCACACATTGATATTTCTCTCTCTCTCTCCTTCCCCTCTAAAGATAAATAAATAAAATCTTAAAAAAGAAAGGAACACACTTCTGCAGTGCTGGGGCCACCACTCGTTTGGGGCTTGGGCGGGGCAGCAGCTGGCCCCTCCCTAACTGGACCACTCCCCTTCCGTGACCACTTGGCCATCCCGGCTCACAGTGAAATCCTTCCACGAGCTCTCTGCGTCTGCGGCCCCCCCGTCCTTCCGTCCAATTCCCCGGCCATCCCACGCCCATCTGGCCCACCCACTGCTCCCCAGCAAGCCTGCCAGCCTCGGCCCTCGAGGGTGTCCACCTGCCCGCCCAGAGGGCAGTTCTAGTCCTCACCCATGTGCCAGCGGGACGTCACCGTTTCGGACGCTCTGCTCTCTGTCACTGGGGACGTCAGCGCAGCCCTGGGTACTACCTCTCCGGCTTTGCCTGCACAGCCTTTTTGGCTGGATCCTCAACTTCCTGAGCCCCCCAAGTGGAGATGAGGCCCCGGCTGGTGGGCCGGTTGGAGCGTCGTCCCATACATAGAGGTTCCAGTTTTGATCCCTTGTCGCGGCACTCATCTAAGGCTGCGGGTTCGGTCCCAGGTGCAGACACGGACAGAAAAGAACTGCTTGATGCTCTTCTCTTGCACTGATGTCTCTCTCTTTCCCTCCTCTGTCCCTTCCACTCTCTCCAAAAAGCACTGAGCAAATGGCCTTAGGTGACGATAAAATAAACTAAATAAAGAAAAACAAACATCGGAGACCAAGGGCCCAGTATGAAGTCTCGTAGCTGCTGGGTGAGCTCACCCAGACCTGGACTGGAAAGTGCCTCTGGGCTCTCAGAATGCCCAGTCCGCACCCCCCCACCCCGCGCCCGCCCCCCAGAGACTGGCTGGCTCCCGACGCACCCCTCCCCGTGGCTAACAGCCACGTCAGTCTCACCACGTGCAAAAGCAGACCATCGACTCCCCTCACCCTGCTTCTGTCCCCACCCATGTCCCCAGCAGGAGGCCGTCCTTTTGTTCCCCTCCCAGAACTCACGTCCAACCCACTCGAACCAACACACCCCGAGTGTGGGCACCTCTCCCCGCCCGCGGCCCTGCTGCCCTGCCCGAGCCCCGTCTTCTCTCCCGGGAGCACACACCGCCGCCAGGGGCGCTCTCGCACCAGCCCCTTCCCGGGGTGCTCTCCCCCAGAGGTGGGGGGGCGGGGCTGGTTCTCACCCGAGTCGCATCGCCCCGCCCCCTGTACGCATCCGTGTGTGCTGGCCTGGGACGCCTCTACCCGCCTGTCTTCCCGGTCCTTCCTTCGGTCTCACCACTGCAGCGGCGTCTCACGACCCCCGGTGCACACTGGGCACACGCTCACCCCAGGACCTTCCTGCTCGCTCTTCTCTGCCTGGAATGCACTTCACCCGGGCATCTGGGTGCCTGGTCCCCTCACCCACTCAGGTCTCTGCTGATGTCACCTCCAGAGACATCGTCCCTGACTCTACCCCTCTGCCACCCTGCTTCTCTCCACAGAGCGACTGTTTCTATTCAGTACATTGTATCGATTTCACTCCTGGCCTGTGTCCCCTCCCCCACGGGCATGTCCTTCCACAGAGGCCAAGGCAGGGACTTTTCTTGTGTGTCCACTGCTGCTTCTCGGGGTCTAGAGCACAAGCCGGTCCACCTTCACTCAGCAAAACCCCCTGACGAATGAATGAGTCCCCATAATAATAAGAAAAGAGCACAGGACATCCTCCCGGAGACGGAGGGAAGGATCCGGCCGAGAAACGAGAAGGGGGGTGAGGACAGGGAACGGCCCCTTTAGGAACAACCAGATTGCCGTTTGCAGTGACAGGCACAGATTCTGAGGTTACGGTCCCCACGGCGTGGGAAACGAGACTCGGCAGAAGGACTGAGGAGCGGAACGAATTCCACCGGTGAGCTGAACCGGGCGCCGGACCCTGGAGCTGCCCACCTCCCAGCAGGGGCAGGGAGGTTCTGATGACCCCTCAGCTGAGTGTGTAGTAAGTGACTGAGACATCTGCTCCCTCATCCATTTGACCGTACTGACTGCGTGCCTACTGTGTGTCAGGTTGCTCCAGGTCGCTGAGGTACAGCACTGCACAGAATGGGCCACCGTGAGGGAGCTCACGGTGCAGGGCCGGGAAGGAGCTGGATGAGGAGTAATGAGGCTGCCGGGCACCGGGAAGTGCGGCGGCGCAAGGGAAGCCTGCAGCCCCTCGCAGCCCTGGACAGACCCCACAGCCCTCAGAGGCTGTGCTGCTGGCCTGGCCTCCAGCCCACTCAGGGCAGGGTCCTGATGGTCTTTTGCATTTGCTCCCTCAGATCCAGGTTAAACTTTGATGAGGAAATGATTTCTAACCCTCATTCCCCAAGTCCTACCTGGTTACACTTTAATTCCGGTCATGTTGACTTAAGTCTCCACTCACTCCATGTCCCAAATTCATCTTCTCCCTGTGATCCAGGGTCCCCTGCATCTCTGGGGAACTTCCAGGAACTTCAGGGTTATCACACCCAGCCTCAGGTCCCAGGTGCAGCCAATCAGAGTGACCGTGGCTGGGGGGAGCCCCAGAGCGCCTGGCCAGGAGTCAGCGAGGTGGAGGGGCCCTTGCTGCCGCCAGGGAAGCAGGTCCTCGGGGTGGGGTCCTTGGCACTGAGCTAACCGGTGTGACGCAGGAACCTCCTCTGGTCCCCTGAGGAGCTCCATGGCCTTTTCGGAACTCCTGGACCAAGTGGGCAGCCTGGGCTGGTTCCAGGGTCTCCAGACAGTGGCCTTGGTGGTCCCCATCATGTGGCTCAACACTCACAACTTGGTGGACAACTTCTCGGGCGCTGTGCCCAGCCACCGCTGCTGGGTGCCCCTCCTGGACAACAGCACTGCCCAGGCCAGTGGCCCCGAGGCCCTGGGCCCTGAGGCCCTCCTGGCTGTGTCCATCCCACTGGGGCCCAACCACGGGCCCCACCAGTGTCGCCGCTTCCGCCACCCTCAGTGGCAGCTCCTGGACCCCAACGCCACAGCCACCAACTGGAGCGAGGCAGCCACAGAGCCCTGCGTGGACGGCTGGGTCTACGACCGCAGCACCTTCACCTCCACCATTGTGGCCGAGGTAAGGGCCTCCCTGACACCCTCCCCACATCCTGGCACCTTAGAGGCCAAAGTCACCACCCCAAGCTGGCAGGAGTCAGAATGGCCCAGTCCTGGGAGGCCTCTTCACTCGCCATGAGCTTCCAGCCACCCTACTGGCCACATCCCCCTATGGAGGGGTTGGTGGCAGGAAGCAGCCTACAAAGGTCCTGGCTGGTGGAACAGAAGGTGACACTGAGTGGGCACCCAGGGCGCCCCTTCTGTCACTTGTCAGCAGCGGCCTGGGCAGCCCTCTCTCATGCCAGCCATTGCCCCGCTGGTCATAGGGACTCAGGGAATGTTCAAAGATTCCCAGAGGTGATCCCCTGGGGTCATGAGACATGAGAACGTTGGGAGGTGGCCCTTCCCACCAGCAGGAAGGAGCTCTTTGTGCAGAAGCAGAAGGAAGTGGGCAGAGGAACCAGCTCCGGCAAGGCGGGGGAGGTCAGGTGAGGGGAGAGGGCTTGACCCCCGGCAGGAAGGCAAAAGGGAGCCATGGAGGGGCTTAGGCAATGGGTGACAGCTGTCACTGTCCCACAGGGCATGGCCCTACAGCCCTAGAGTCACCTGGTAGACCACCCACACCCGGCTCCCCAGGGCCTCCCCCTCTCACTCCTCTGCTGCCTCCCACCTGGGCCCCCCTTACCTCCTGAGCTCAGCTCCCCCTCTCTCGCACCAGTGGGACCTGGTGTGTGACTCCCAGGTCCTGAAGACCATGTCCCAGTCCATCTTCCTGGCCGGGGTCCTGGTGGGAGCCGCCATCTTTGGCAGAGTCTCTGATAGGTACGTACCTCCCGTCCCTGCCTATTCCACAGGCCCGGTTGGCCTCACCACCCCTTGCTCCTAGATGCTGGTTGTGGGTCTTGCTCCTGCCCCCTCCAGCTGTACAGTGAGCCGGCTTGGACCATCTCTGGGCCTTGACTTCCCCGACTCTCCTCGGGGGCCGTGGAGGGTCTTGCTCTTCTCAAACATTCACTGCTGAAGCCAGCTCAGCCACATGCCTGCCTCCAGCTGCTGCTTGGGTGCTTCTGCTGATGGAGAGCTCATTTCCTGCCCAGACTGCTTCCTGCCCACTTGTGCTCACAAGCCCTGAGTGGATGAAGAATGGGACTCTGGCCCCCGGTGTCATTTTCTCATCCCCTCTGCTCCATGCGCAGGGCGGGCTCTGGTGGGCCAGGCCCTGCGGCCAATGCCATGGCCAGCTGAGGACCTGTCTCCCCAGTGCATGTGTCACAGGTATGGGCGCAGGCTGGTGCTGACCTGGAACTACCTGCTCATGGCCGTGTGGGGCACAGCAGCAGCCTTTGCCCCAACCTTCTCCATGTACTGCCTGTTCCGCTTCCTGGTGGCCATGGGCTCTGCAGGCGTTATGAACAACACTGCCATTCTCAGTAGGTGCCCCTGCCCTGGGGCCAAGCAGGGAAGGCTCTGGAAGGCTCCAGGGATGACCTGTACGGCTTCCTTGCAGTGATGGAGTGGATGTCTGAGCAAGCACGAACCTTGGCGATGACTTTCAACGCCCTGGGCTACAGCTTGGGGATGGTGCTGTTGGCCGCGATGGCCTATGGTCTGCGCGACTGGACGCTGCTGCAGCTGGCCCTCTCTGTCCCCTTCTTCCTCTTCTTTGTGTACTCCTGGTGGGTGTCATCCCGTGCCCCATGCAAGCCTCTACCCAGGGGAGCAGGCAACACTCCTCGGGCTGCAGGGCTGAGGGGGTAACAGGAGCCTGGCACAGGTGGCAGCCTCAGGCCTCGATGGTCACCCACTGGTCCAGGTGTCCAGGATGCGTCTCCTTCATCTTCTCCTCCTGCTCCTCAAGGAAGCTTTCCTCTCCCTTCTGCATCCTTCCCCCCTTCCTTCCCATCACCCTTCATGACCGCTGTCCCCACCATCCTGCTCCCACCCTGCCTGACAGGGTAGGTGCCCGATGTGCCCACAGCTCTCCCTTCAAATGCTGCTGCCCCAAATCCCCTCCTGCCCCACCTTCCCTGGCCACCAGCCTCCTGCTTCCAGCAGCCTGTGTGACATTACCACAATTGGTGTCGCAGCACCAACATGTACCATTTCCTCACCTGCAACTCCCCAGGGCTCCCCAGGGACCCTGGCGTCGGCAGCTGCCCCTCCCACTGGTACTGGAGTCAGTGGCCACGGCTTCCCCTTTCCCTCCCCGCCCTCGGGACCCAGAGGGCACTGGGTCTGGTCAGCTCCACCTCTCCTGGGCACCTCGAATCCTCCCTCAGCCCCCTGTCCTGCAAACTCCAAAGGACCTCAGGGTGCTAGTGGGTGCGATGCAAGTGGCCCCACCCTGCTGCTGCTCCCAGACAAAGCGTGTCTGGCTGCTGACCTGCAGGACCAAAGCCTGGGGGCAGAAGCTGGCTGGGAGTGGTGGGAACCCCAGAGACCTGGGCCAGCTAGGCAGGCAGAACAGGAGGTCTGGACTTGAGGTTGAGGGCATGAGAGCCAGGTTAGTGTGAGAGTCAGGGTCCTGCCGTGGGGATGGGACACCGAATGACACCCAGGCAGTGGCTGCTGTTGTCTCAGCTTGGACAAGAGGGACAAGGTGAGGCAAGGGACATGGGGCCAGTGGAGCACAAGGGCTACTAGGTGACAAGAACTGTGATGAATGGGGAAGGGAGTGGACTGGGGATTTGGGGACCAAAGACCCTGCTCCAGGCTTGAGTCCCAGGCGGGTATGAAGCCATCTGCAGGGAGGGACAAGGGGAGAGGAGCCAGCTCAGGCAGCAAGGTTCAGGCCAGAGCAGGGAGTATGGGGCTGTGTGACCCGTGGGCAGTGCCCAGCCGTGGAGCAAGGGCCCTGGCAGGCCCCTACCTGTGGTGGACTGGCAGGACAGTGCTCCTGAACCACGGGGGTGCGAGAGCAACCGTGCTGCACCCAGGCCCGGCTCCCAAGACAGGCAGGGGAAGGGCCCTGGGGTCAGGAGCCAGGCTGGAAGGGGAGAACAGGGACCCCCAAACTCAACCCAGTGGAGGGAAGAGGGAGAGAGGAGGGAGGAAAGACGGCCTGCTGGGGAAGGAGGGTGGCTGAGTAGCTGTGGCCGCCACATGTCACAGTGCCCTTAGCTGCCCACCCGCTGACCTTACGACACATAGCAGTGAGGCCACCCCCTTGGGCAGAGGGGGAAAGAGGGGCAGTGAGGCTTGTGTAGGCCCAACCTGGGGCTGACAATGCAGCCAGGCCCTGGGGGCCACAGGCAGTGACCCTCCACTTGTCCCTCACCCCCACCCCAGGTGGCTGGCAGAGTCAGCAAGATGGCTCCTCATCACAGGCAGGCTGGAGAAGGGCTTGCGGGAGCTGCAGAGGGTGGCCGCCATCAACGGGAAGAAGGCAGTGCGGGATGCACTGACCAAGGAGGTGAGGCAGGGCAGAGCCTGCCCCCAGGGCTGGACCCTCACACCCACCTCCCCAACCTCACACAGGGCCTCTGGGTGGCCAACCTAAGGCTCCAGGCCCCTAGGATAAGGGCCCCGAGAGCGGGGCTGCCTGGAGCCCCAATGCTGACAGTGCGCTCCCCTCGCCCAAAGGTCTTGCTCTCAGCCCTACAGGAGGAGCTCAGCGTGAGCCAGGCTCCCACCGGCCTAGGCACCCTGCTTTGCACGCCTGGACTGCGCCTCCGCACTTGTGCCTCCACTCTGTGCTGGTAGATGTCCCTCAACCCCCACCCCTCCTGGGCCCCAGCTCAGTGCTGGCAGCCAGGGAACTTGGAATCAAGGCTCTGGCTGGTCCCACTGGCCCGCAGGGGTCCCAGGACAAGCCCTGTGGCCCTGGCACCTCTATCAGTCGGGCAGGCCAGCCCAAGGGAGCTCAGGTGGCAGAGAGTCCGTGCAGGAGTAGTAAGGAGCCCTCGAACCACAGGCAGAGCCGAACAGCCCAGGACGCTGAGGAAGCAGTCAGAGAACGCACTCCCACCAGCGCTGGGAGGGCCCCAGGAGGAGGAGGGGCACCCCCAAGCCCCGGAGTCAGGGCCACCCAACAGAGACTGAAACCACCCAGGCTCCAAAGGAGTGGAGATGCGGCTGTGGAGGGGACGGAGCCACTGCCTGAGAGCACATCTAGGAGACTGAGGGAGGAATATGAAGGCTCCTCCCCTTGTCCCGCCTCCAGCCTCCCATCAGTGCCTTCCATTGGCCAATTATAATGAGAGGCAGCATGACAAAGCACCCTGGGAAATGTAGTCTGCAGAGACCACCCTCCGCCGTACGGAGCCCACAGCGGGAGGAGAGGGTGTGACGACCATCCAGCCATTGAACAGCTCACTCCTCAGCCGGATTCCACCTGTCCCACCCCCAGGTTTGCCTTTGGCTTCACCTTCTATGGCCTGGCCTTGGACCTGCAGACCCTGGACAGCAACATCTTCCTGTTCCAGGTCCTCATTGGCGTCCTTGACATTCCAGCCAAGATAGGTTCCCTGATGCTGCTGAGGTGTGTGGGCCGCCGCACCATACAGGCAGCATCTCTGGTGCTGGCAGGGCTCTGCATCCTGGCCAACGTGCTGGTGCCCCTCGGTGAGCAGACAGGCCTGGGGCACATCACTGCCACCATAGGCACCCACCCAGGGAGGGGGTGCGTGCTGAGCCACGACCTGTGACCTCTTGCTCCCTCCTCAGAGGATGCCATTCCAGAACAGGGACCCAGTTAGGCAGGAGGCTACAGGGACGACTAGGAGAGGTGGTGGTGGCCTGTCCTGGGCACTGGGAGCAGGGATAGAGTGGGGCGGTGCCATGGTGGCACTGTGAAGATAAAATAAGACCTCAGAGATGGACACTGGAGATGGGGGCAGCGTCAGGGAGGACTTCTGGATTCTGGCTCTGGCTGTCTTCGTGGGGAGCAGATTGGGGGCATCAGAGAAAGTGGCTATGAGGTCACTTAGGACATGGTGCCTGTGTAAGGTCTGGGGACACCCAAACGGAGGTGACTCACAGACATTGAAAGGTCAGGGAGAGCTTTCATCTGACCCTTGGCCCCCACCCCCATCCCTACTAACACTGTCTCTACTACAGAGATGAGGTACCTGCGTTCAGCCCTAGCCGTGCTGGGGCTTGAGTGTATAGGTGTCGCCTTCACCTGCATCACTATCTACAGTGGGGAGCTCTTCCCCACTGTGCTCAGGTGAGGCTGTGCCTGGGCCCAAGAAGGGGGCTTCCCTGGGCTGGGACGGCATGGTGGGGTCGTGTCCCCAGACCTAGATGTCTGTGCCTCGTGCCTCTCTTCCCTGTGGTCTCGGGGATGGCTGCCCATGTGTCCCAGCCTGACCCTGGACAGACTAGGGCTGGCCAGAGTGGGAGGTCCGGGCCATGAGCAGGCAGAGTGGCCCCTCACAAGTACACCTGTGCCAACAGGATGACCGCGTTGGGCCTGGGCCAGGTCGCGGCCCGCGGGGGAGCCATGCTGGGGCCTCTGATGCGGCTGCTGGGCAAACACCACCCCACACTGCCCCTGCTGGTGTACGGGACTGTGCCTGTGCTGAGTGGCCTGACTGCACTGCTGCTGCCCGAGACCCAGAGCCTGCCACTGCCTGATACCATCCAAGATGTGCAGAACCAGTGAGTGGGCCCAGCCCTGGGACCAACATCTTCTCCCTCTGGAGAATCCCAGAGGGGGGGGGGGTGGCCTGGCCACCCTCCCCCATCACTGGACAGAAGTAGAGGCGCAGAGAGGGATAGGATTGTCTGAGAATCATGCAGCACTGCTTTGAGAGAGTGGAGGCCTAGGCCCGGGTCTCCCAGCTGACAGTGTGGAGTGTGAACCCTGCTCTTTGTTCCACCATTGGAGTCCCTAATGGCCCAACCACCCCCAGCTCCACCTTGGGAGAGGTCAGGGGGAAAAGAGTATAGCCCTATGTAAGATGGAGAGCCCAGGGCGCGATGGCCATTGCTGGGTGTCCTCAGTGACCCAGACTCTATTACTAAAACCCCCATGTCACTGCCCCACCCGCCCTCCATGGTATGCTTGGGGGGCTTGGGCAGCTCGGTCCTGGGCCCCTGAGAGCAGCAGTGTCTCTGAGTCCTCAGAATGGTTCAGGTGTGAGGTCAGGGGGCGCTGCACCTCGAGACCCAACCCCTTGCTGTCTTTCCCGAACAGGGCAGTGAAGAAGGCAACAGCCCGCACCCGGAAGCATCCTGTTGTGAAATCCACGCAGTTTTAATCTCCCCTCAAGAAGAACTTTCTGTCCTCTGCAGAAGGCAGGTGAGCAAAGGACTCAATTTTCAGCCCGGCCTCTTCCTGTCTGAGGAGGTGCCTTCAACACACTAAGGGAGAAGGATGGTGTGGTGGACAGGGGCCACCTAGCCCTCACTCTCACTGCAAAGAGGAGCTAGGCCCAGGTCTGGGAGGGTCCTGCCTGTGCCCCCTAAGCTCCCCACTCTTGCTGCCCCGGCTTGAGGCAGATCATCCCCCATGGTCATGACCTCCCCAGCTTCTCTACATTATAGGCCTGAGGGCTCTGCACAGGTACTGTGATCTTGGCCCCTCAGGTTCACCACAAGGTGGCTCTGGACCCCTCAGGCCTCTCCATATTCCAGCCACGCTGCGAGTCCTGTCTGCACCCATATCTTGTCCCTGGAATCCCCTTTGCCACCTTCTCTACAGTTCTACTCAGTCTCCTAAACCCAGGCCAATGTCCTCATCCCAGGAACCCGAGGCCCAGCCCGAGGATAGAATGGAACCTGTACCCACAGCTGGGGCCACATGCCTGTGTCCCACACCGCCAACCTGGGAGCCCCCAGAGGGTTGAGATGTCCTCAGCTGCCACACAGAGCCAGCAGAGGATCATCGGTGGGAGGGTGGAAAGAGGGTGTGAATAAAGGAACAAAGGACTGGCCCTCGCCGACTATTCGATCAGCCCAGTGAATGCCCAGGTACAGGTCCCTTGCTGGCATGGCCCTTTCCCAGGCCATAGAGTCCACCTGGGCTGCTGCCCTTTCCGGCCCCTGTGGTGGGCCAGGCACCACACTGGGCACATCAGGCTCTCATCTCATTTCATCTTCTCCTGAATCCTTCCAGGTAGACTTTGCCCTTTTTCACAGAGGGGAAACTGAGGCTCAGGGACACTGACTGCCCGTGACACACAGGTAGGAAGGGGCAGAATCAGGAATCAGCCCTGGTCTTCAGGTCTCCAGAGCCTGTCTGTGGCCACAACACCCCCCGGCCTGCAGTCAGGCCTTACCATCCCTCTCAGGACGAGCGAGGCCGCTGCAGGGTCCTCTGGCAGCACGTCAGGGAATCACCACGCAGGGCCTCAGGCAGGACGGAGCAGGCTCCAGAGGCCCCCTCTACCAGCTAACAGGTGCGGCTGCAGGCAGGAACCCCTGCTGCCCTGTGGGATCCCCACCGGCCGTGTCCAGTAGCTCTTGGCCCCGGGGCCTGTGTCACTGCTGCCAGGCACCTCAGCAGAGGGTTGCACATTTCCACGTGCACACACAGACTGGTCATAAGCACATACGTGTGCACACATAAGACAGTTGATGGGAAAATAGAATAGAGCTCCTTGTTCCCTTCCCCCCGGGGAGACAGGGTCACTCCCTGACCTGGCCCAGCAGCTGGAGCCCCAGGGCCTCTGGGGGTTATCTCCTTTAGTCACCTGCCTATGGCCAGCCCTCTGGGAAGACCCCTGGACTGAGGTTGTCCCAGCCCACCCTAGACTTTCCACCTTTGCCTACTGCCCAGCTGAGCCCCAGACGTCTTTCCTACCCTTACTCGGCATTCCTGGAACTCCAGGGTGTCCAGAAGCTTCCAGAAGGCAGAATCCAGGGCTGATGAGAGATGGCTCCTCCTCTCCCCTGGAGTGTACTCAGGCTCACCAGAGGGTCAGAGGGGCCTTGCTCCTGGCCCTTCCAGATAGTCACAATCTTCCGGGACCCAGAGCCCTGCCCTTCTGGGGCTACTAGAGGGTATCATCACATGGCAGAGTGGGCACCCTGTGAAGGGAGGCCAGTCCTGCCTGGGTGGCTGCCACAGGCCTGCTTTACAGCTGGGTGCTGCCACCTGAATGGCAGGCCTTCACCTGGGACACACCCTCTCTTTCAGTGCCTGCCACAGGGAGGTCCTAGCCCCAGGAGCTACTGGAGAATGAAGGGGCCAAGGGGACTGGGTATGGGGAAGAAGAACCCATGGTCTGTCCCTCCCATGGTGGTGGAGGCCTCAGGCAGTGAGGGCAGACACATGACTCAGGCCAGTAGATCACCCAGGAGGGTGTGCGCAGAGGGGCACTGCTGGGCACCTCAGGCTCCATGCCCACCTGTAGGAGGGGGACCTCCCACCAGAGGAGCCCAGCACTGGCCAAGCACGGCCAGGGCAGGTCTGCAAGGTCAGACTTCAGCCAGACTTCACTTCAAGCTGCTTCCCCACACCCTGTCCTTGGTCCCCCCGAGGTAGAACCCCTGACACATTCCTGTAAGTGCTGTCAAGGAGCGGAGTGCCTGGACAGGCGGTGGTCCAGCCGCCGCCAGGCCCTGCTTGCACCCTCGTGGGGGTCACTGCCAGGCCAGCCAGAACCCGAGGACTCAGCTTAGGCCCAGCTGAGTTCAACGTCAGATGCCTAAGACAAAGGAGCTGAGACTAAGGGGACCATCTCTTACAGATGGGTAAACTGAGTCAATGGCAGGGTCCAGGACTCTTTCTTCTTACAACTAAGTCTTTGAGTGACAGGCACTCTTAGCCTCCTGACACAGAGAACTGGAGCAGTTCTCACAGAGAACACAGCCACACGGCTGCGGGCGGGACGGGCCTGTCCTTCCAACGCCTGCACGGCCGCTCGGTCTGGACCCCTATTTCTAACAGACTGTTTGGGGCTATTCTAAAAGTTTATTTTATTTCTTTTAAAAATATTTATCTATTTTTAGAGGGAGGGAAAGGAGGGAGAGACACATCAATGTGTGGTTGCCTCTCGCATGCCCCGCACAGGGGATCCAGCCCACAACCCAGTCATGTGCCCTGACTGGGAATCGAACTGGAGCCCCTTTGGTTCGCAGGCCAGTGCTCAATCTACTGAGCTACACCAGCCAGGGATAGAAATTTCTTAAATAAGCATGTTCCTTCCCTTCTTGACACCAAAGAACTACTGACTGCCTGTTTTTATTTTCTTTGGCTTGTGGTGTTAAGGAGAGAGGGCAGCAACAGAGGATGCAGGGGCAGGGCCGTCACCTGCACCAGGACAGGACATTCCAGCAAGACTGCCCCAAGTCAGGGCTCCTGTCAGGCTTCCACAGGCACTAGAGCTCACTTGACCTTGGGGGTGCCAACCTCAGGCTCCACGACTGTGAGCAGTGAGGGAATCAGGGTACCAGAGCCTCCCCCAGCCAGGGTGGCTGGTTTAGGAAGGCAAGGAGAAGACAAAACCATGGAAATCCACACCCCGGGCAACTGGGGGTGGACCACTCCGCTTTCCTTGATAGGACTCTGGAGGAGGGCTCAAGGACCTCTGGGGCCACGCCCCATAGTGGGGTGGGTCCCAAGACAAAAGCCTCATCTTAGGATGGAAGGAGAAAGGGGGTGATGAGCCAACCCGGCTGGGCTGCTGCAGGCAGGGGCCTGGGAGGTATCTAAGGCTCGGGAACTGGGAAATGCCAGCAGAGCCGCCTCAGATGGAAGCTCAGGAAACTGACTCAAGCAGTGAAAGGTGATGGCCAGTTAAGAGCACAAGAAAGCAGAGCCCAGAGGGGAGGTAAGCGTCTCCCACCCCCAGCAGAAGGCAAAGGAGATCTGAGTGTTCAGTGCGCGGTGACCCATCACCACCTCCAGGGAGCACAGACCGCCCGCACACTCGGGTCCTCACCTCCAACCCCACCTGTAGAGTCCCTGCTCCTTGTGACCAAGAGGCTTAATGCAGAGCCCTCTCAGCTCGTCCGCTCCCCTTCGCCTGTCTAGTTTCTCCACGAAAGAGCAAACACCTGGGGGTGAGGCTGCTTTCACCTGTGGCCCCAGGGACTGCCATGGTCAGCCAGAGTGGACAGGGAGGTTGTGGTGGGGGAGGACAGACCTCTAGAGATGTGAAAGGAGCAGAGACCCCGGAGTTAGGCAGAACTGGGGACAAATCTGGATTCGGCTGCTGATTCACCCACCTTGAGACCATGGCGAGCCCCTGGTGCTCTTGCCACCAGGTGTAACTCTGCCTCTCCCAAGAGCTGTCAGCACGACTAGGGGGCAACACGATCCTCCTGCCTCTGGGGCTTTGTCTCCATTCACAGAAGCTAAGGTCCTCAGGTGGGTGGGTCGACCCAACTAGGAACAGAGACTGGCCTTCCCCCATCCTCAGTGACGAGGAGACAAAGACAGTTTGCCCCTTGGAGCCCAAAGCCATGCTCAGCCCAAAAGGTTGGGGGGCTACTTACCAACTCATGGGCCCAGAGGCAGGACCACTGTCCCAGCAGCTCCCACCCTGAACAAACTGCACAGGACCGTTGGGTTTGGAAAGTTTTTGTTTTCTTTTCCCACACATTTCTGGGGTTGGGGTGTTTTCCAAGACTCAGACACATTAACAAAGAGAAAAAATTGGGGGAGCAGGGAGCCCGTGGGCAGAGAAGTGACCCCAGCAGTCCGAGGGCAATGCCTCGCTCTCTCTCCCCTGCTGCTGGCGCCCACCGGGTGCCCCAGGCTGCTGCTCACGGTATCTAGATTATTTGTCTTTAATATATATCTGCATTTGCCTTTCCCCTCCCCCCACCCCCCGCCCCCCACCCCCGCTCCTCCAGCAGTTCCCCCAGCAATGCACGTTGCCCGGCGGCTCACAACAGAACAGGCTTCCCCAAGCCCAAGCCCCTTCCTTGGACTGCACCAGGAAGGCACCTCCCCCAGTGGGCGGGGCCCGGGCGCTCTCGGGGGGCGCCTGCTGCCCCGCCCCCTCCCTCGCTGGGCGCTCGCCCACCCTCCCCCCCTTCTCCCGCGGACTCTGGAAACCCAAAGGGAGAAACCAGACACACACAAAAAAAGAAGTGGGAAGGAGGATGGGGCAGAGAGACTGCAAGCCTGGGGTGGGGACTGGAGGGCTTGGAAGAGAAGGAAGGCAGGAGGGACAGAGGGAGGAAAAAGAAAAGTTGAGGAAAATTAACAGGACAAGCAGTGGACACTTTACAAAACCCCCGGCCTTCCTTCCCGCCCAACCCCACCAAAATAAAACTACTCCCTTTAAAAAAATAAATCAACCCAGGGCTGTGAGCACGTGCCCTGCCCAGGAGCGCAGAGCGGAGAGGGACAGCCAGCCCCACGACTGACGGTGCCGCCACCCCAAACGGCAGGAGGAAAGGGATGAGCACGGGGTTTTCCTTTCCTTTCTTTCTTTCCTTTTTTTTTTTTTTTTTTTTTGCGTTTCCTCTTCGTGAGAGAAGTCTGAGGCAGCCACGGAGTGGGGCCCCAGAGCCCCGGCAGGGAGAGGACCGCACCCTACTCCCGGGCCCTCCCGGAAGGGACAGCTGGCAGTGGGACGAGGTGCCCGGGGCTCAGACGTAATACTCCTTGTCTTTGTTCTTCTTGGCCTTGCTGGGCGTCTTGGGGGCCGCCGGGGCCTTCTCCTTCACCACCGCCCCATTGCTCTGGGCCGAGTTACTGATGTAGTTCCGGCTCTGGTCGACCTGGTAGGAGCCCTCGTCGCGGTTGCGGTACTTGTACATGGCATAGAGGAGGATGAGGATGCAGAGCGCCGCGGCCGCCACGATGCCCACCACCATGCCCGTGGTGCTGCTGGACTCCCGGATCACCTCCACTGCGCCCGGCGGTCCCCGTTCCCCAGGCCCCGTGGGGTTGGCTGTGGGTAGATGGGGGAAGCCGGGGGCAGAGGTCACACCAGGGCGCAGGGGAGGGGGCCTCCGTGGCTCGAAGGACGTGGGGGCCCCGGGCCCCACGGGTGGGTTCTCCAGCAGGGGCTGCAGCGGGTCTCGGTGGTTCATTTTGCCCGCTGGCAGGTTGGGGGCTGGGGCAGAAGGGGCTAGCAGCACCCCAGGGGCGCCTGTGGCCCCATCTGTCCTGAGGTTGGGCCGGGGAGCGGGTTTTCGGGGTGAGAGGAGGGTGGTGCGGTCCGTGACCAGGGGGAAGGTGGTGTAAAAGTCCTCGTCGTCCGTGGGGGGGAGGCTGGAGTCAAAGACCTCCCCGGAGGCAAAGCCCGAGGCCTCGATGGGCTCCTCGCAGTCGCTGTCGTCCTGCTCGGCCTGGCACGGGCCCCCGGCGGAGGGTGGGCGGCGGGCAGAGGGCGGGGGCAGGGTGTCTTGAGTCGCGCCCACGCCCGTGAGGAAGGGGTAGAAGGTGGGGGGTGGGGGCACGAAGGGGGATCGGGTAGCCACGGGAGGGGGGTCTAGGGAGTCCTCCGTGATAATGGGCAATATTAACTCTCCTCCTAGAACAAGAGACAGAAGAGAAAAGAGAGGGCGTCAGCGCAGGCCGGGGCGCAAGTGGCCGCCACAGAGAGAGAAACAACAGCCTCACACACCCAAATCGGTTCCAATTGGCTTTGGCGGAGACTAGAGCGGGCCAGGCCCGCCCGCCAGCCGGCCGCAGCACTGCGCTTTAAGCGGGCAGCGGCTGGATGCCCTGGGCACCCCACGCACGGGCTCTGTGGCTCTCTGGGTTTTGGTCTTTTGATTGTCTTAAGAAACCAAAAGGAACAGAAAGGAAAGGAAATAGAAAAGAAACGGAAAAAAAAACTCTACTGTTTTAAGGCTTTAAAAACAGATAACGAGAGCAGCATTTAAACAAACCTAACAACAATATCTTTTAGGGTTTTTTTCTAGATATTTCTTTTTTTGCTTTTGTTTTTTCTTTTGTTTTTAAAAAAGAAGATAGCATACCACGGAATTCAGGCAACTTACATCAACAAATAGGCCGTGTGATTTTAGCATGAAGAAAAAAATTACAAACAGAGCTGTGTAAGCGGGTTCTCCCGGAAAAAATAAGAAAAAACAACTTTTCTGTACCACGTTTTCTGTCTATCTGATATCTCCCTCCCTCACTCTTCTCTCCCTGGACATCTGGCTGCCTCCTGAATACTCTCCTCCCTCACTTGTGCCCTCTCCCCCTCGAGAAACTAACAGCACTGAAATTTGCGGTGCAGGGTGGTGTTGAGGAGCGGCCACCACCACCTGGTGTCAGCGTGCAGAGCAGGGGGCAGTGGGAAGAGGTGCATGAAGGTGGCTATGTATCGCTACAGGGGTGAGACGACTTGGGAGGGGATGGTCATGGGAGGGAGCTTTGAAGGCCACCTGCAGGTCGGCCATGAGGGCAGGAGAAACTGAAGGTGGGAGGTGACAAGGTCTATGAGGAAGAGTAGACACGGAGGAGACAGACACACTGAAGGAGAACCTTGTCCCGCGGGACTGTGGGGAGGGTGGGGAGAAGCCATGTAGAGGCAGGGCGGTGGGGCAGAGCAGGGAGTGAGTGAAGGAAGCGGGCAGGGACACACGACTCCTGAGTTATCCCTAACTCCCCAACATTCTCCTTCTTCACCCTCCACCTCTGACCCCCACTGACTCCCCCCTCCCCCTCCCCAGAACCCCCATGGGCCGCCAGGACCTGGCCAGGGCTTGACTGCCTCTGGCCCTCTTATTGTTAAAACAATAATAAAACAACGGAAAGAAGAAGAAAGCAAAAAAAGAAAAAAATACATACACAGCCATCTGGGAAGGAAGCACTTGATCATATAGGGCCCAAGGGAACTAGTGGGGAGGGGTTCGGGGGCATTAGGTCTCCTCCCTCCCTGGGTCTGATGACTGGGAACCCTGTGGCAGAAACTGCATTTCCCATCAGCCCCAAAGGGTGAGAACTGCAACTCCCATTAGCTTTTGGAGGGGTGTAGACCACAATCCCCATCAGCCCCTGAGTCAACAAATACAAGTCCCATTGGGACAGTGCCCCCGCCCCACTCTCAAACCAAAGTACTGCGACCCACTAGTGTTGGGTAGAAGGGAGCTGGAGCCCAGTTCTAGAAGGCCGGAAGTTTTCTCCCTAGCTCTCCCTCCAGCAGAGTCCAAGCCCTGCCCCCATCCGAGTGCTCCCCCCTAGTCTCTGCAGGGGGCGGCCTCCGCGGCTCTGTAGTAAGCACGGCTCTGCTGGGTCCTGACTGCCCGGTCCTGCCTGCCCCGCTGCAGCCAGCCTCCAACCCCACACTGCTTCCTCCCTGCCACTCACACACCTCACCACGATACCACGATACCACGGCTACTGAAACCCCACGCTGCCTTCCTTCCCTGACAATCACTCCAGGGGCCCTGGGCTCTGTTGCAAGCAAGTCACACACAGCATGGGGTGCTGGGATTCCTGGGGTCCAGGAAACGTCAAGCAAGCTTGCCCCAGTGAGGACCTAGCAGAGCCTGCAGGAGAGACTCCTCACTGCAAAAGTCCAACTGAGGGGCTCCCCCTCCCACTGGGCATTTGGGAGTACAGCCCCACAAAGTTGTTGGTGCAGGGACCCCAGGTCCAGCTCCATACCACAGGTGCACATCGGGATGGGGTGCCCCTGGGAATCTGACAGGGACTACAGACAGCCTCCCTCCCTCCCCCTACTTCAGACAGCTGCGGCATTTGGGAAACAGGTGCACTAATCACAGGTGCCACCACCCCCTGCTCTGAAATGGAATGCCAGTGCATGCACCAGGCCCACTTACTGGAGCTCCATTCTGGCCAAGGAGAGCACCAGCCACTCCTGAGCAGCTCCCCTTCCCCAGCCCCCCTGCCTCTTGCTAGCCCAGCAAGCTGAGCCCTTTCTGTCTTTAGGGAACAGAAGACCGGTGACTGGAACTCCACCCATGAATCCCATTCCCACCCAAACAAGGCATATCTAGCTCCCACAGGGGTGTCTAGAACTGAGGCTGAGTGTCGGGGACTAAGTCCTTAACCACTGGGTTCCCCACCCAGGTTATGAGGGCCAGAAGGCCACTAGCCCACAGGGCATCACGTGCAAATGAGCAAAAAGGTGGCTTCTGGACTTAGTCTCAGCCCTGCAGATGCACAACTTGGTGAACAGCAGCTCTGTGCACAACTGGAAAACGGTCTTTTGTCCTCCTGGGGGACACAGCCCCACCCCTCCAGGGCCCAGGACACGGGGCTTGGCAAGCAGGCACCGGCTAGATTTCAGCCCTTACTCACCTTTTCCAGCAGAGAACAACCTGTGTAATTGTGTGGCTTGACCAGAAGGATGGTGCCCCTCCCCACCCTGAAACACCAATACAGCAAGGGCACCCACCAAGGGGGACTCAAGGTCAGAGACAGAGATACTTGTGTGTGCACGTACACACCCCTCAGGGCCTGCTCCTGCGCACCTGGGGGCACATCTCTAAGCATGTGCATACACGAACCTCGATGGGTCTAAGCATGTGAATGCACGTCAGCGAGTCTGAGCAGACACATGTGCAAGTGAACCGCTGGCTCAGAGCTCATGTGTGCAGGTGTGGATGCGCCACTGAGCACACATAAGCATGCCACCAAGGGTCTGTGCCCACGCCGTGTGCCTCTGGGTACCTCTTTCCTCACTCATTTTCTTTTCTCCTGGGCAACAAAGACTATATTTCCCAGATTCCCTTGCAATTTGGTGTGGCCATACGACTGAGCAGTGGGCAGTACTGGCCCTTAAAAGCCTCTGTGTTCAATCCTCCATGCTCTTTCTTCTCCTTTCAGTGAATGTGCAAACTACCTGTTAAAAATGGAGGAGCCACCAAACAGGAGTGCAGGTTCTCAAAGCACACCTGAGGCAGAGCACCTGCTGATCAGGAGCACCTAGGTAGGGCTTCACCTGAGCGAGAAGCTCCCGCTGGTATTTGAGGGCTGTCACAGGGACAAATATACTCTAATACAAACACCACTCCAGATGGGAGGGCCACCAAAACCTGTGGCACTCGTGTAACAACCCAAGGAGACGGATCTGGCCCCGGACAGATGAAGAACCACCTAATGCAGTGGCAGGACATGTAGAGGCTGAGGCACCAAGGAAAGTGACAGCAAAGTCAGGGAGGCATCGTTAGCTCTCACTTTCTGCTTCGTGTAACATATTGCGAGAAAGAGACATAGCTGGGCAAGAAGTGGTGGGGAGGCAAAGAGGAAGGGATAGAAGGAGCCCAGAAATGGCGGCCTGCAAGTGTCCAGAGAGCCACTGCTTCCAAACCCCAGGTTGTAAGACAAAGATCGAAAAAGGCTTTGAGGGACAGCGGCCCAGTGAACCCCCCACATGAGCAAGGGGCTCAGCCTTGCCACGGAATCAGATCAAAGGTGTGGCCTCCTCCCCACCATTTCAAATGTGCTCAGGATGGTCACCAGTGAATTGAGACAGGCATGGGAGCAGAGAAACAGGAAATCAGCTGGCTGGGGAGTTGTGTCTAGGAGAGAACCCGGGGTGCAGTTACTTGGACTGCTTGAACCTTTAAATAACACTGGGGCCCCAAATACGGATGAGCAGGAATGGGCTGGCAGCACGATAGGACCCTCAAAGAGGACACTTTTCCGACACCAACTTCAGAGGTGGACAAGGAGAGTGAAGACCAGAAAGAACCTTGCAGAGGACAGCAACAGGGCCCCAGAGGGGGCTCTTCCCAGACCGCAGAGGCAGGTTTGAGGACAAAACTGCCCAGGGCGGGGGCAGGGCCTCGTGCCCTGGGTGCTCCATGCTGGGTGACTTCTCCCACTCTAGCAACTAGGAGCCGCACATCTTCTGTCCTTCCCTTCTTTGAATGAGAGGTTTATTGTGCGTTTGCCTGTGGCCCACTGCTGTATTTTGGGTGTGTGCTGGGCTGTGCAAGCAGTGACATCCACTGTCCTTTCAGTTCGAGTCTCCAGGCCACACAGGGGTGCCCAGGAGCCAGGTCTGAGCCTGATGGAGTGGCGGCCATCCCCCAGGCATCCTCACCTTTGGGAGCGCAGCTCTGACTAGGCGGGGTTTTGGGTGTCTCCCTTGGGGAGGGGTGGGTGAGCTCCGTGGGAGGGAGGAAGAAGGGAATGGGTACTGGTGATCGAAAAACTAGACTGCTGCAAAGAAGTCACTAGCTGGTCACCATAACAGTTTCCGCTTCTTCCTGGGACGCAGCAAGGCCATTCCTCCCGGCCTTCCTGGAAGGTAGGTGGTGGCCCGGTGGCTGGGCTCCGAAGGGCAGAAATCAGTGAGAACAGCGCACACCTCCCAGGCCTGTTCCATAAAACCGCCTCTTTGTGACCCTCCCCGTTCACTCCCTCCCAGCACAGTTGAGGAAGTCACCATGTAAAGATTATACATCTCTTTCAAGATGGAAAGAGGCTGGGCGCTGAGTCAGCACATGGGGAAGAGATGCCCACCACTCAGGAGCACTTACATATAACTGTGTGAAGGGGAAATAAATTTGTGTGTTAAACCACAGATGCTGTGGGGCTACTGTCACAGAACTAGTGTCCCGAGACACTCCAGAATCGGCACACATCGGAGCCTCTGCGAATCTGGGCTGAATGTGAGTCCGAGCAAACATAGCAACGGGTCCACTGTCTACAGAACCCAGCCTGAGCGCGCCGGAGCACCCCACGCATGTGCGTGGGAGCAGTGCTCAGGAGGGACATGCACATATGGGCAGTCCATGAGGCTCCTCCTGTGGGTCTAGCCACACACGGGCTCACGTGAATCTGAAGAGTTGTGTGTACTCACCTGTGTGTACTGTCGTGCGTTTCGCTGGGTCTGAACGCAGGAATGTGAGCTGAGAGTCTGTGACTGTGTGTGCCCTCCCACATGCAGCCACACGGGCACCTCCGAGCAAATGCTTAGGTGCAACAGTAGCCGTGTGGGCTTTGTAGACGTGTGTGGCCGGGGGACTATCTATGTGCACGCCTGCCTTGAGGGGTCCGAGTGTGTGTGCTCTGAGCTCATATGTGCAGGTCTGGGCACACCGAGCCTGCCTGAGAGGTGTAGCTCACTTCTGTGAGAATGAGCATGGTCCTGGTACCTGGGGACATCCCTTTGAGGATGTGTGTGCATGTCTTGGTGACTGTGAACATATATGTGTGGGGGACTGTGGGTCTGAGTGCAAGGGGATGCTTGGGTGGAGCTGTGACACACACACTTGTGACCCTGAGCACAGGCTTACACATTCCTGAACCCCAATTTGTGCACGCATGCATCCCTACCTTGCACATGGCTGACCTGAGCATGTGCACATGCATCTGTAACTCTAGAACGTCTATGAGCAACTGCATGGCAGTGTGTTCAGGGTCTTCAGGTCTGGGCACATGCATGCGCTTGTGAACTGAACACAGATGTGGGATTCTGGGCACCTGAGGACACATATGCATGGCTCTCAATGGCTTTAAGCATGTGTGTGTACATGCTCAGACCCGAACATACATGAGCATCATGTCTAAAATGAATGCTCCTAGAGGCCTGAGCATGTGCATGTCATTCCAAACATCTGGTGTGTCTCTATAGGTGTGTGCAAGTGTGCTGCAGGGTTTGCACATGTGCAGCACTGAGCATATCACATGCCTTGGCGCACGAGACACACTGCATGTGCACTTTTGTGTCGCTGAGCATACGTGTAAGTATGAAGCAGTGGGTCTGAGCAGGGGGCACCGGTGAGTCCATGGCTGTGTGCAGGAACATTTGCAGCTCTAAGCACACGTGTGCAAGACTGTAGCTCTGAGTGCATGTGTGTTTCTCCATGGGACTGTATGTATACATGGATTTGTGCTGCTGTGGGTCTCAATAGCCATTCTGTGTACCAATGTCTGGGGTTCTGAGCACATGTGTTACTTAAGTTCTAAGCGTGTTCAGGTCTCTGCCTGTGTGGATATGAATGGCCTGCACTGTTCTAGGTTTGAACATATGTGTACCTGTACAAGTGGGCCCATGTGGGCTTGCTGATAGGTCTGTGTGCTTCTGGTCAGATGTGTGTGCACAGGCATGTGTGCACATGTAGATGTGTGCCTCTGTGGGTCTGAGCCCGTGCGCACTTCCCGTGTGTCTCAGCAGGTACAAACGCAGATCCCTACAGGGCCAGGCCCATAACAAGATGTGTGGGGCGGGCCGGCTGGGACAGTGAGCAGTGGGGGCCCGTTACCAACTACGCAGTGCACGGCGCCCGGAAGGCACTCCCCCTCAAAAGAAGGGGGAAACAATACTGCTTGACTGGGTTGCCAACCTCATGTAAGATAACCATGTTAGATGATGGTCTCCCCAAGCTGGGGGCAGGGGCGTAGGGCCCAGGGCCTGTGCAGGGGCCCAGGGCCAGGGACAGGGTGGAAAGATGAGCAGGGATGATCCTAGCTTCACACCTGGCCTGAGCGGAGGATCCAGACAGGTGGGAAGGCAAATACCCTGGGCTCAGCCCTGGGGCAGTGGCTGTCTCGAACCAGTCTAATACTGACCTTGGAGCCCAAGCAAGCCGGGTCCTCTACTAGACAAGAAGCCCTCCTGACCTGGGGGCACAGGAAGTATGTGTGTCTCCGCCCTGGGTCACTCCCGGTGCGGGACAACACGGTCTAGATCAACCCAGGGAATGCTAGAGTTGCCCTGGTTCTTGACTGGCTGCCAATCCCAGTAACAAGAATCCAACCTGAAGCATTTTAAGTGGCATAAATGTGAAAGAGCAAATGCCCACTCGTGTGGGGGGACCACCTATGGCTCTAGTTGGTTTCCCCTGGGGGCTCAAGCATGCAGTATGCCTTCTCTCCCCTCCTATTTTTAAAGTCGAGGAGAGCCAAGCTAGACCACCAACCTGTCCCTACCCCCAGCCTCTCTTCTTCTACCTGCCACCCTCCCATCACACACTCAGCCCTTTTCCCAGGAGGAGCTGCCCAGCCACCCATGCAGTCTACTTCGGCCCCTCCTCACTCCCTTGTCCCAACGAAGCCCACCTGTGCACACACTCAGCGTCACACCCAGGCCCCTAACGAGACTCGGGGCTGGGGCTGGGGCTGGGCAGCTAGAACTTGGGTGGACTGTGCGTGGCTCTCATGTGGTCCAGTGCGCCTGTCTGTGTGGTGGCCTTCCGGCCCAACTCTCCTCTCTGCAGGGTCCAGGGAGAGCAGAGACACCTCCTCTCACCCTGGCAGTTCCCATCCCAGAGTGTGTGCACATAGGCACACACGTGTAAACACATATAGTGGGGCCGAGGACCCCTTTCTCATGACCCACGCGGCCCTTAGTCCCCTGAGCCCTATCCCGGGGTTCTCATGGACCATCCATCACAGCCACTCCAGCAGATCTGGGCTAGAGGCCCTGTGCCCCCACGGGAAACCTCGGTCAGTGACGAGTCAGAGGGGACAGGGCACAGTGTAGGAGGAGTGCCATGTTGAAGCTTCCAGGTGCCCAAAGCAATGGTGGAGTGTAAGGGTGCATTCCGAGCCAAGACCCCCCAGGGGGGCAGGGGAGCAGCCCCAACAAAGGGGCCTCCCCGTGGTGGTGGGCTTCTGTTCCAGGAAGCACAGGCCCTGTGCTGTGGATGGGGAGGTCTTTCCAGCCCAGCAGCCCAAGCCTCCCCAAGGTCCCAGGGCCAGGGACCACTGGAAAGAGGCCCCTCAGCGCTGTTCTACCCGGGGCACACAGAGAACAGTCGGACTTTGGCCTCTGGGTCTGGAGGCCTGCACCCTGGAAACCCCCTGCCCTTGGTCTCTGGAAGCGGAGCCTCTGCCTCGAGGCTCCAGCCACAACCCTTCCATGGCTGTAGCCTACCCTCAGCCTCAGCGTCTCCCCTGGGCCTGGCAGACCCCCCCAAGCCCACCCCCTAGGCCAGATTCACAGGACATACCCAGGCCACCCTGCCCGCCTCAGCAACCACCTCACCTCTCTTATCCTGCATGTACCTGCCCCAACCTCTAGCCTTCCGGTACCAACAGCCCACCCACTCCAAGGTAATCAGAAGTTTCTGGAATCCCAAGCAAAGGATGTGTACTCCCTTGGGCTCATCCAGGCTTCCACTAAGGCCCAGGCTCCCTGGATGGGAAGCCTGGTCCTTCCCCCATCGCCACCGCCAGCCTCAAGCACAATGACCTCAGCTCCTCAGCCACCCTCCCTGCCTGCTCAGACCCACCGCACCCACCGTGCTGCTCCACGCCCCGAAGTTCTCAGTCGGCACTCCAGGCCCTCCCCACTTTGCCAGTCTGGTCTCTCTCTGGGGCTGCACCCTTGACTCCAACTGGAAGGAGCACGCACAGGCTGGAATGTCACCCCCAGGAAGCGCTTGCTCCCAGCCCTGCTCTCACCTACTGTAACTCTCCCGCTGGAAATCTGCACCAGACCTCAGGTCCCAATCTCCCCAGGGGGCCACATGTCCGGCCAAGGGGTACCTCCCACCCGGCTGGGCACCAAGCTGCTGTGCAGTAACCGCCCTGGCTTGGCAGCACTGGCAGAATGTCCGTCCCCCTCCCTGAGACTGGGCGGGAGGAGGCCTCAGGATCCGGCAGAAACCCTCCTCTACTAGTGACCAGGAGAATACCAGGCTCAGGGACTGACGGGAGTTGCAGTTCTGGACCCGAGAGCTGATGGAAGTTGTAGTTCCCAAACCTACATTCCTCATCTCCTCTCCCCCAGGACTTATGGGAGATGCAGTAACTCAACTTTCTAGGGAAAAGTCTCCTCATTCCCTCCCAGCACCCCTTGGCTCTTAACCCCAGGACCCCAAGCTAAGGACCTCACTACCTCTGAGGGCTGGGGCACCAAAAGGCCAGAAACTGCCTCTCCAGAGGGCACCTGAGGGACCAGGGTGGGGCCCAGTAGGAAGGGTAGAGCTCTAAGGGAAAGCCAAGGCCTAGCAGCAGGCCCCTTGGGCTTGGGCCAGGTGGAAGGGACAGTCGCCCCTCCCTCCCGTCAGCTTCGCAGTGGGCCCCGGGGCAGGGGAGGGGGGAAAGGCACTCACCAGTACTGGGCTCACACTCCTCTAGGTCCTCGTCATCGCTCGGACACTCAGCCGAGGCCACCAGGAGGTCATCTGTGTTCTGAGGGTGAGAGGAGGGGTGGGGAAAGAAGAGGGTTCCAGGCTGGGTCAGTAGACCCCCACAGCCACCTCTTGAGGTGAGGGATGGCATGGGGGACAGGGCCCTGGGCCGAGACACACACCCTGGCCCATGTCCAGCTCTCTCATCACTTGGTGGGTGACTGAGGGCCTTCGTTTCCCTTGTTCCAAAGGGAAACTAAATAGCTCCCGCCAAGCAGTGGCTCCCCGTGGCTCCTGGGGATCGATGAGACAGCAGCATGTCCAGACATCTGGGGAGACTGGACGACACACTTGGGGCCTCAGGGCTAGATCAAGGGGACCCAGGGACATTGGCAAGACAAGGCACTGGGCCTCCAGAGGTCAGCATGGGCAGGGCAGGGAGCAGGACCTGGAGTTTGCTTGGCTGTAGCCTCACAACCCCATCACCCTCATCTTTCTCCCAAGCCCGTTCCCTGAGCCGGGAACCAGGCTGCACACAATAATTAGGGCTGTGGTTGTCATGACAACGGGAGTCGGCTTTGTCAGCATTTTCTCTCCTCCTGATCACAAAGAAAGAGAATCCCCAAGATGAGTGAGTGTAAGGGGGAGGGATCCTCAGAGGGGTGTCAGGGGAGAGACCTAGGGAGGGAAACCCAGAGTCCAGGCAGGAAGAGAGACTGAGACTGACGGGTGTTGGAGAAGCCTGGGGTGGGGAAGGGATGAAAGGGTTACACCCTGCCCCTTCCCCACCCCTGATCCTCAGATACTGCTGCCCACCCCCAAGGCCTTGGCAGGGCCTGGAGGACCCATTTTTAGTCTGTATCCTTGCCCCCTCTTCACCAGCCTCCCCTGTGGGGGCTTCTCCAGCATAGCTGTGACCCCTAGAGGTCCAACCCCTCTCTTTCACCTGATGGTCTGCCCATCATCCTCCCACTGAACCTGGACGGCTCTTCTAGCCTGTGTTTAGAGGGCACTGGGTGTGTTGGGTGCCTAGCCTGGGGTAGAGCCAGGCCTTTTTCCCAGGGCAAGGCCTGGCAGTTGAACCCCATTGGTGTACTGGGCAGTGAAGGCAGAGGGGAAGGAGGCCCAGGCTTATCATTCCTGACTGGAGTTGGCCGGAGCTTGATGGCACAGCCTGGCCAAGATAAGGGGGCCTGGATGGAGCTCAGTGAGCCCAGCCCCTCACCTACAGAGGCTAAAGACGGTCTCATGCTGAAGGCAGGACACATCCCCATGTGGCCTCCAGACCCCTCTCTCACCCTGGGAGGACAGAGGTCCCTCTAGGCGCAGAGGCCCAATTGCCAGAGCAATGTGGGACCGAAGAAGCTTGGGCAGTGGGGGCAGGGTGACTAACCCAGGTCTCGTGTGTCTGGCTGGAGCACTCCAGGTACCAACAGTTAGAAAACTCAGCCGGGCCCTGAAGCTGCTTCAGTAAGTCACATATGCTCAATGGCTTCGCCCACCAGGAAAGCCAGGCCTGCCCTGCCCCAGGAGGGTTTCATTCTCCATGTACAGCCCCTTCTGGTGTTCCTCTGGGTATAAGGGAAGATAAACTCAAATCCTGGGCTTGCCCGGACCCAGGGAGAGCACCTGCACAGGTGGGGTGGACTCCGGGGGAGGATAAAGCACCAGGGGACTGTCTGCATGGACAACCACAGAGGACACTGAGACCTTCTACACAGTGATGCCCGCTCAAGGTCACAGGACTTGTGACAGCAAGGGACTGGACTTGCGTTCCCACTGCAGGGACTCCAACCATCAGGAAGAGGTTGCTCTAAGCCTCCACCAGTCCCGGGAGAGGGGCTGCCACCCCCAGCTGACCCTGTAGCCCCTCCAGTGCTGTCACCTCTGTGCCATGCCCAGAGCAATGCTATCCTGGTTCCATCTGTCTCCCACTTGCTGCCCACGCAGCACTGAGCACGGCTTTTGTTATGCAATGGGCAGGGACATCGTTCCACCCTCACCCTGAGTCCAGACTTCCTCCCTCTTAGGTGGGGTAGTCATCCCTGGTCCAGCTGGGGTATCAAACTGCCCCTCAACTCTGAGAATGGCCCCATGGAAATGGTGGCCACCTCCACATCTGGGGTCACCAGAGCAAAGGACACTTCAAGAAAGGAGACCTTGCCCGCTGCATCTGAACCATCACCATGACAAGGACAGCAGCCTCCAAGATTCCCCCATGAAGATATCAGTCCAGTGCCCCATTCAAAGCTCCAGCACTTGTCCACCAGCTGGAGGGCCCTCACCTGGGTGGTGCTGTCCCTCAGCGTTGGGGAGCGGCCCCGGCGTGTGGTGGTAGTGGCCATGGTGGTGGTGGTTTCCATGATGGTGGTGGCCATGTCTGCCAGCAGGGTGGTGGCCGTGGTCTCCGCGCTGAGCAGCACAGACGGCCCCTCCCCCACCAGGCGCAGGTGGCCCTCGGTCCGCACATTGGGGTCGCTCTCGGCGGCCAGCGCCAGCACCTTGAGCCCATTGTAGTAGAGGCCAGACACCTGGCCCTGGAAGGGGCGGCCCTGATCCCGGCCCCCGATCTTAATGGCAGCCTGGCTGTTGAAGATGGTCAGCTGGCGGCCTGGTGGGGAGGGGAATGGGCAAGGGTGACAGACAGAGGGACAAGCAGTGGGGGGAGACCAGAAAAGGATGGGGAGAATGGAGAAGAGCCAGAGGAGGGAAGAGGAGTCAAGGTGAAAACCAGTGAGTAGGGTGGGGGTGGGGGGGGAGAAACGAGGAAGGGGCAGACACCAAAGGGAAAGTCCTTGTCAGCCACAGCCCCCAACTCAGCCAAGTGGGGACCCCAGGGGAGAAGGTCCCCAGGGCACACATGGGCTGGGAAGGGGGCCAGCTCCCCGCTCTGCCCACCATGCTCATGCCTCCAACCTTCCTACCCCCTCTCCTCGCCTGCTCCAGGGGCATCACACCCCCCTCCTTTCCCGTCCCTCAGTTTGGTCCCCGTCTTCACCCCCTGCTCCCCCAAGCACCCCATACCCAGCTCCAAGCCACGGAGCACTCAGAAGCAGCAGATAGAGCACACACAGAAGCAGAGACAGAGAAGGCAACCGCCAGGCTGGGGGTCAGTGCGTGTCAGGCAGAGAGGGAGGTGAGGCCAGGGGATGGACAGGACAGTGCGTGGGAGGAGGACAGTGCGAGGGTGGGGGAAGCCACGAGGACCTCACTCTGCCCTCCCGGCCACCACAAGGCCCTCTGACCTCTGGCCAGGCTCCCCTCTCCTCCTCCCCTCCAGGCCCCACAACGCCCGGGCATCAGGCCTTGGAGAGCAGAGGCCTTCCTCCCTGCCCGGATGTGCAAGCACAGAGCTGGAAAACGTTAAAGGGACCTTTCTTCGCTCACTGACAGCCAAAAACAAAAGCGCTCCAGCTCCAGTCTCACTCCTCACTCAGCAGTTCAACCTCCGAATTCCCACCTGGGTGGGTTTTTGCTGTTCTGTTTGGTTTTAATGGATCTGGGGGTCGGTTTAACCCTCTGAGTTTGTTGCTTTGGTTTGGTTTTTAGAAAAAATATTTATTATGTTTAAGTTTAGATTTAACTTTGGTTTTGGTGTTGCTTATTTCGGGGAGGGAGGGGCGCAGAACTACTATGCTGCCCCCTGCTCCTCCGGGCCTTCGGCTGCTGGCTCTGGGGGGTTTAAGACCTGGCTTAGCCCTTGTTAGCTTCTGGTTAGTGCCTCGTTAAAGATCTGGTTTAGAGTTAGGTGCTTGGAAGCCCTGCCCCTAAAACCTGGGCTGAGGACAGTCCAACTTGTGAAACCCACACCCTCTTTCGAAACACGTATCCCTGGGACACCCACCCTTCTCCTGCCTGGCCTCCAGCCAAAGGCCAGCCTCGGGCGCGTCTGCACGGTCCCGTCTGCACGGTCCCCTCCAGTCAGCCTCCCTGCCTCCTCCAGCACCTCCCTCAGCCCTGGAGCAGCGCCTCCATCTCACAAACGGGGGCTGGGGGTGCTGGGGCCCCGGAAGCTGGGCACTAATGGTGGCGAGAGAAGGTTCATAGTCAAACAGGTTTGGGAAGGAAACATTTCACAAATAAACAACAGGTTTCCTTCTCATGGGACTTCCCAGAGCCTTTAGAAAACCAATGTCCCCGTGCCTCCCCCAGCAGGAAGAGACGGGATTCAGCAGCTCCCAAGCTCACTTCACAAGTCCCTTGACTGTGAAGCATCTCATGGGACTCAAGCTTCACAGGACATATTTTGGAACTGGAAAGTGGATTAATTCAATAAATATTTATTGAGCACCTCCCATACGCCAGGTGCTGACAGTGAAATAATCCCTCCAAGGATGCCGAGCCTGTTCTCCAACACTCTCCTGCTCCTTACTGCATTCACTCTCACAGCACCCCTCGTGAGCGAGGCTGAGAGGGCGTCCCTGTCCTTTCCTCCCGAGAAGGGAACTGAGGCTCAGGAAGGTGTTGACCCTCTTGACTAAGGCACGTAACAGGTGAGTTCCTCCGTCCACAGTTGGGGAAATACTAGAATATTTAGCCTAGTATTTCACTTCGTAAAAGAGGAGCTAGTGCCCTGAAGAGAAGGTGTAACCACGTGCTGGTGGAGGGCAGCCGGGTTCCCGTCACCAGGCTGAGCTCTTCCCTAGTCTGGACCGCAAGTCCTACCCTGCCTCCCCCACCACCCGTAATGCCTGTCCTGCTCTCCCTACCCCCTGGGGTCACAAGTTGTCCCAGCCTCAGCCCATGCTGCTCCCTTGGCCTCTCTAATTCCGGGAGAGGGAGGTGGGTAATAAAGAGGAAGCTATGTGGGTTAGCAAACTAGGCCCCTCTGGCCCCACCTGCCATGAACTCCTCAAAGGGTTAAAGTTCGCCCCGCTGGAGAGAGCCACCCAGTGTGGCTGGGGGCTGTAGGTTTTAGCGATGTCTGTTACAGTCCCTTTAACTTTTTGTCCTGTTCCGGATTTATCACATCTGGTTATCAGCAAGTTTAGTCCCCGCTGGCTGTATGGGGGCTGGAAGTGGCGTTTGGGGGTTTTAGTTGGGGGAGGCCCCAGTGGACATTTAAAAGCACAGTTATCAGCTGGTTAGATGGAGGTTTAACAGTGATACTTCCCCCCTAGAGTTTAGCCTTAGAGGTACAGAGCTCGCCCCCTCTCCAAAGGGAATGGGATGGCTTTGCCCTTGGCCCCAACTTCCCTTGGTGACAAGTGGCCTTCTCCCTCATACCCAGCAGCGCCTCTGTCCTCAGACACCCCAGTGTGGTGGCTCCCTCCTGCCCTCTCCCCTCACTCCTCCCCCAGCCCAGCCACTTCTGAGGGGCCTCCTGGGCCATGGCGGGCTACTGCAGACATGGTCCTACAGCCACTCTCCTGGGGGGTGGCTTTTCCAGTAGGACCTGAAGCCCCCACTCTTTCCTCTTCTCTTCAGATGAAGTCTTCCTACCCTTCTCTGGATCCTAGAATCAGCATTTCCTGTGCCCCAAAGCCTTTCTGCTTCTCACGCACTGTAGCCCTTGGCCGGCCCTTTACAGAAACTCCGAGCTGACCACTACCCTCCCTCCTGCGTCCCAGCCTGCTTCATGCAGTGGCTCGGGAATCTCAGATTGTCCTAGTCCCATTTCAAGCTTAGGAAGAGACGAGAACTCTTGTAGGAGATCCCCCGCCCCTGCCCAAAACCGCCACCCTACAAGACACAGACCCTTGACTACAGAGGGAAAGGGGGCCTCCTGGAGGGACAATGGTCCCTTCTCTAGGGGGTGGGCGACGGGAAAGGCATGGATGGGGAAAGAGAGAGCTCTGCACCTTTAAGATAGTGGTTTTAAAGTTAATTAATTAATTAATTAATTAATTCTGGTTAATTACCTTTGTCGAGCAGCCACTCATCTACTACTCGACCAAGCCGGTAGGGGATTCTCTGTCTAGCAATCGCCAGGCGCTCGTTATCAAAGTTTCCTTGGAAAAGTTTAGAAAGACAGTAGGTTTCTCAGGCGGCGAAGTCCAAAGGAGTGAGAAAAGTAATTATGCATTTCTCAGGAGACTCAGAGAAGCAGCAACATCCGACGGACAGGGGCAAGGTCCACCCAAGGCGGGAGAGGAAACGCTGGGTCCCTGGTCCTCCCGCCTCCTCCCCTAGGCTCCCAGCCGGAGCCGGCCCCACCCTGGGGGCAGGAGTGACCCAAAGAAAAAGACAGGGACGGAGAAGAAAAGGAAAGGGAAATGACAGAAAAGGCAGCTGGAAGGTCAAAGGTCAGAGGTTAAATGGGTTTGTCTGTGCTCGAGCTGTTGGCCCTCTTCCTTCCCGATCCCAGAGTGGGGCAGCAGGCAGGCGGGAGGGGCATTTAGCAGGTTTAAGTTAGGGGGTGGGCGGCCTCTACGGCCCAGATGGTTACTGCGTTTAGAGGGTGGTTTAGAAGTGGGAGGGGCAGGTTAAGCAGGGGTTTATGCGGCATTTAGGGGGGGTGGCCCGACACACTCATTTAACAGTGAGATTTAAAAATCACTTCTCCAAGCTGGTCTCGGATCCCTTCACCTTCCTCGATCAACTCCCAGCTTTCCCCTCACCTCCCACACCTCCCCACAGCCCTGGCCCCACCACCAGCTTCCACCTTCAACCCCCAGCCCCACCCTGAAGACCCCCAAGCCCACCGCTGCCCTCACTGCAGGCGCTCCAGGTCTCTCACCCTGGTCCCGGCTCCTGTCTATCTACCGGCACCACTGCGGGCGACCTCCCAGTGTGGTGCCTGGAGTGGCAGCTGGACCGTCACCCTGCAGCTCCACCCACCCCTCTTCCCTTCTCTCCAGGATCTCTGCGCCATTTCACCTCCTCTTCCTCCAGTGTCCCCTGCCTGCTGGTGCCCTCAGTCCTCCTCTGCCTGGGGGCACCCTGCTCTCCTCCCGCCGCAGCTCCGCTCCTGAGACCTTCAGGCTCCTCTCTGCTCAGGTCCCCTCTCCTCTCTGCCCTGTGGGCCCAGCCCAGCTCCTGACCCCTCTCACTCACAAGCCTTCCTCCTTCAGGCTCTGCCCCCACACTCCCTAACCCACACCCTCTCAATCCTCAGCTGGTCACCTGGTTGTGCACCTGTCCCTCTCCACTCGCCATTCTGCAGGCCCCGCAGACAGTGTGTGTGTGTGTGTGTGTGTGTGTGTGTGTGTACAGAAGTTTGTCAGTGTGCCCAGGAGCTCCACATGCTCCTCCCTCACTGTGGGCTCTAGGTGATCACAGTCGGCAGCCGTAGAAATGCCAACAATTTCCTTTGGGAGTCTGGCCACTCTTCCCTTGGAAACCACTTACATACTACTCAGTAACACACACTTTGGGTAGTGGAAGGCTTTTCCTCTCATCTCCCACTGCACAACTGCGCTCGCCTGCCCAGCAATGCCCAGACGTGGGCCCGGGCCTGCCTACAGACACGTGCCTTGAACAAGTCCACCGCACATGTGCACAGCGGTGCCCCTTTGGGTGATTATGAGGCCACGAGACACTGCCTTCTCTACATATTCAGGTCACTCATGTTTCAGTCAACGATGGATCATTTGTTCATTTAGTCACTCAACAAACATTTCTTGAGTGCCTGCTCTGTTCCTGGTGCTGGGTATGAGAGATGGAAAGATAAAGGCCTAGTCCTGGCCCAACACGAGCCAAGCCGGGGAACTGGCAAGTAACTAGCAGTGTTCGGTGTTCTGTTACAGGTAACACAGGGCACCCCATCCTGGGGGTCATGGTAGGGGTGGGAGGGGCCAAAGAAGACACTGAAGGAGGAAAGGAGAAGTCAGGCAGGGAAGGGAGGGAGGGGAAGTTCATGGGCAGAGGGAGAGGGGCAGGAGGCACTCAAGGACCTACCTGCACTGGGGTACTTGTGTGTGTGTGCGTGTTTATCTGTGTATTTGTCCGTGTGTGTCCTAAGAGGAAAGGAAGGACATACATCTGCCTCACTGTGCTCACAAGGATTCTAATAAATGCTGTTTGCTGAACCCCTCCTCTACACCATGCCATTCTAGCACTTGCCTTGGCTTATCTCAAAAATTCTCACAGGACTGCCATGAGGCAGGTATCACGCCCACTTTCAGAGGTGGGTGCTGGCATTCAGAGAGGCTAGAAGACTCTGCAAGGCCACACAGCTTGTCAGGAGGAGATCCTGGACTGCAAGCCAGGTCCTGCCGACTTGAGGTCCCTGGGCTCTGTCTCTGGGCTCCCTTTGCATCTGGGCGCCAGGGCTCTCCTCCCAGGCATGCTGCTAACCTGGCCTGCTGCTAACCTGGCCTGCTGCTGTGGCTCAGGATGACACTCAACTTCTGCAGAGGACCTGCTCACAGTGCACACAGGCAGCCACCCGGCCCTCGGGTTCCTCTGTTTGCAGGTGAGGGGGCACCAGCAGTCTTTGCCACTTTGCCCAGACAGGGTCCCCGAGCAGGGGAGGGCAGGCGTGACTCCTCCAGCCTTGACTCTGGCCTGCTGGACTCTGCAGGGAGACTCGGGACCTGAGCTGTGACTCCATGTGGTGAGGCCTTCATGCCACCTCCCCACCGCAGTCCAGCCCCGTCCAGCGAAGCCTGGTATGCGCACTGCTGTGAAGATCGCTCTGATGGGCATGCAGCTGAGAGGGAGACAGAGAGGTAGCTGCCCACGGGCAGCATCTGTGCACGTGTGGGACTTAGCACAGGCACGCCTGTGTGTCTGAGCGGCCTCACACACACACCCTGAGCCCTGGCGTAGGGCTGGGGTCCTTGGCAGGGCTTTTATTCCTTGTGTCTGTCTGACCAGAAGAATAGGTGTTTGTGGCCATCGGGTGTCTGGAGTTGGCCCGTGTGTCCATCGGCCTCTGTGTTCATTAGTGGGCCATGTGGCCCTCCAGGCCCAGGCACTGCCCGAGAAGGTCTGGGTACCAGCTTGCACGGGCTCTGTGAGATGTGAGCCCACACGGGCACCTTTCTTCCGGCCTAAGCGAGCCCGTGAGGGTTTGCACATCTGCACCTTTCATTGTCTTTCTTCCCTCACTCTTCTTGGTCAGCATGGGGCGACTTCTCTGCCTCCTCCTCAGCTGTCATTTCTAGCTAAGAGAGGGACCGGGGCCGTGCCTCGCAGACACAGCCAGCCTCCACCTCTTTTCTCACTGGCTGTGTCTGTGCGACAGCGTCTCCATATCTCTCAGCCTCGCTCCCAGAGCCGCCTCTGCGTCTGCGGGTGTCTCGGGGACCGTTCCACACCCCTCCATCGCACCCCTCCGTCGCTGCTCCTCTGGCCCACTCTCTTTCTAAGGCTCTTTCTCTGCCTCCCTCTGTATCTCACAGAGTCTCGGCTTCCTCATTTCTCCCACGCCCTCAACCCTGCCCCTCTCCTGTGCTCCTCAGAACTTGGTTTGTCCTCGGCCACCACGGCTGTCACACCATTGAACCGGGTCCGTTTGCATTACTGTGCTTGCCTCTCCCTACCAACACTGTGGACTCCCTGCCAGCAGGGGCTGTGTCCCAATCACCTCTGTGTCCCCAGGGCCTAGCACAGGACCTGATACCTAGTAGGTGGTCAATAAGTTTGTTGCATACACTTGACCTTATTTTTTCACTCTTTTCAACTGTCTCTCCCTTACCCCCTGAGACACTGGGGTCCCTTGTCTCTGGGTCTCCATGGTTACTGCTCTTCCTTTATCTAGATCTCTGATATGGATCTTTGATTTACTCTTTGTAAGGACCTTGGTTTGTTCCTTGGTTCTGTCCTTTAGAACAGCTCTGCCTACTTGCCAAGATACGTTTTGGGTTATTTCCGAATCTTCCCTCCTTGACTTCTGCATCTGCCTCCCTGTTTCCACCTTACCTGAGCTCCGAACTCATCCTTTCCTCAGTTGTGTCTCTGCTCCTACCCTTCCTCCTCTTCTCCCTCGGCCCCAAACTGGACCCTGGCCTTACTGCTCAGCCCCAACCCCTGCCTCCGGGTTCCCACACTCCAAGGGCCACATTTGCCCAGCCCTACAAAGGCCAGCCCCGCCAATCCCACTGGTTTTCTTTAGCCACGCCCATCCTTGTCCCACCCCCAAGCCACACTTCCTCCACGCACTTAGGCCACCTACCTGCTGGGTACCGCTCATTGACTGGCCAGCTGTCCACCTGCAGGGTGGCGTTGCCACCACTTCTAGTGAAGCGCACCACGTGGTATTTGCCGTCACTCACGATGGCATTGGGCTCGTCGATGGTGATGTCGTCCGTGCCCACATTAAAGATCACCCCCACGGTGCCCTGGTCCTGAAGACGGAAAACTAGAGGTCAGTGACTGGGAGGGAGCAGCTGTTCCCTCCTTCTAGCGATCTACCTGTGATCACCACTGGCCCAGCCCCAGGGCACGTCACAGCTTCACAATACACCTGTCCCTGTCACACTTTCACTGGACCCAGCCCCAGGATCCAGAGAGGTCCTGCGTGGGGAGCCCTGCGGGGCCACCCCAAGATGCAGATCAGGAGGAGGGACAGCCTCCCCCAGACATGCCAGGCCCTCTCCGGGCACAGTCCGCACATGCTCTCTTCATCCCCACAGCAACCCTTTCAGGACGCTTGCAGCACCCCCATTTCACTGAGGAGGAAACCTCTCTCAGGAGGTTAAGTAGCATCCCCAAATATCGCAGCTCATAAGAAAGGAGCCCCAGATTGAACCTTCACTGGTCTGACTCCAAAGCCAAGGCTCTCTCCCCACTGCCAGCTGGTCTTGGGAGACAGACTCAAATGGCTGGGGAGGAGGGTGGGGAGACACAGGCACAGGCTCACTCAGGCCCCCTGGGTCACACGGTCACGGGAACCAGATCATCACAGAACACACTGCACTCCCGGGGTCTTCCTGAGACTATCCCCGTCCTCCCTGGGCACCTGGAACCACCTCCTACGCCCGGTGGATTTGAGCAGCTTCGTAGCACTGGGGATGGAGATAGGGAGGCTCACAGATGTGGCAGCGATTGGGGACTGGAGAGCTGGGGGGCGGGATGTGCTGCTGTGGCTTGGAAACCTACACCCCATCCCGTCGCCAGTTGTGGGTCCAGTTCTCCTAGAACCTGGGAAAGCCGCGCCCACACACACAGAGTCATACACGCATGCAGCATCTCTCCTCGGAGGCAGTAAAGCAGGGAAACTGAGGCTGGGCCTGCCTAACAGAGTACTAGCAAGCCCCACCATCCCCCACCCACTGCTGACAACATCTCAGGGAGCTGAGAGCTCGTCTGCTCCCACGCACGTGAGGGGAACAGCCACAGCCGCTTCTCGTCAGTACTATTGTCAGTAGTAACATCACCTAGCAGGGTGTCAGCCCCTTGGACGCCCCTGAGGGTTTCTCCCCACGAGGCTCAGCTGGGCAGGGAAGGTGGTCAAGGAGCAAGTGCAGCCCGGGAGCCGGCGGGCAGAGGGCCAGCCAGGGCAGCTGGAAGGCAGGACACCTGGGTTTCCCAGAAGGCAGCCGAGCTCAGAGCCCTGTACTCCGGGGGAGCGGCAGCTCCCCGGAGCTGCTCCCGACGTGAAGTCAGTTGTCACTTCTGTTAAAGTCATTAATTCCTAATTCCCCAATTACCTCATTAGGCGGCGGTGGGGAGAACGCGGCCGCTCCTACAGCAAATAATTATGGGAGTCAAAATTAATTTGGCAAAGTAGAGCGACGCTTTATTAGAAACGTCAAATTGCTTTTCTCTTATTTTGCTGCCGCCTCCCCACTCTCTGCGAGCTGCTAATGACGCTGTGGTGGGAGCTGATGTGTCACCAGGGGGGAGGGAGCTTGGGGGCTGCTCCCCGGGGCCTGCAGCCCATCTGGCACCCGACTCTCCCCCGGGAGCTGGCCTTCTCTCCTGGCTCCTGCATTTCCTCCAGGGCCCCCACCCTCATCGGCTCCCCATCCGAGCACCAGGCACCCGTTGCTCCCTGCCCTCAGCAGCAGCAGGCACCAGACCTTGTTCCCCAATAACCCTGCACCAGACAAGGTGCGGGGGCAACTGCTGGGAAGGGAAAGGAGACCTCTTCTCCCAGCACTCTGTTCCCCTACCCTTTCTCCTTAGCACTCGCCCTAAACCTACAGGCAGAGAGACACACAGAGGGTGTCCAAGAGCAGGCCCGGAATGCACGTGGACCAACACACCCAGGTGGGTGACCACAGACGACATCAGCCAGCACAGGGGCACCAGCTGACACTGAGGGCTTCCCAAGGGCCAGGCGATGTCCTCGGTGCCTCACGCACTCGGTCTCGTTAAACCTCCCAGCCTCCGTCCGCCAGTCCGGCCACTACGCAGACGAGAACGCTGAGGCCGGAGAGGTGAGGCGGCTGCGCAAAGGCAGAGCAAGGACGTGGCAGGGCTGGGACTCAAGCCCAGGCTCCCTGCTCCAAAGCCACGCAGAGCCTCTCAGGACTGCGGAGGGAGGACAGCAGCCTCCGGTCACAGAAAGGGGCGCAGAAACAGAGTCCCACCTGCCCTGTGTGGCCAGGAGACCGAAATAACAGCAGACAGCACTCTGCCAGGGAACGCAAATATGAAGCGACACACCTGTCACAAAACACAGTCCTTCTCTTCATCCTTCATGGTACCCCACGGTCACACCCTCACTCCTGACACAGCCACCATGCCCCCACTGTCACTCACACACACTGTCTCGCTTGCCCGGGCACGGAACTCCTGGGCTGTCTCCCCAGGCTACTCTTCGCTCTGCACCCCTTTCCTCTGCACGCCCCGCCCGTACTCCCCCCACGCGGCACCCGATAGCTGCCACTGCCACTCCAGCTCCACTCTGCCCACAGGACATCTCTCCTCACACCTTCCTCCTTTGCTCCCTGGTGTTGGGGGAGGGTGTGCAGCCATGGGACCCTAGGAAGCTGCTGTGTAAGGAGGGGCCAGTAGCCACGGCCCTAATCAGATGGGGATGGCAGGAGCCCAAATAAGCCTGCTCCCCGGCTTCCCTGCTCCCCTTAAAGCCCAGGGACTCCCTCGTGGACCTTTCCAGCACACAGAGCCTGGCCTGCCTGCTTCCTGCTCCCGGCTCGGGGCTGCATAGGTGGAAATAGAGACTAAGGTCAGAGCCCCAGGGGCTGAAGCCATGGGGAGGAGACAGGGGAGAAGCTGAGCACAGCAACAAAGAGGAGCAAGGCCAGAGGCCACAGGGAAGAGTGTAGGTCAGAACCAGAGACGGGAAGAGTGGGGGGAAGAACAGGGCTTGCCTGAAAACTCGATCTAGGGTGAAAACCGTGAGGACAGGAGCGGTGGGCATGGCAGGAGGCCCTGAGGGAGTCCCTGGGAAGGAGCGGAGGTGGAGGAGGAAGCAGGCCCTGGGAGGAGCTGGGCAGAGAAAGGCAGAGTGGGGACCAGAGGTCAAGGTGGAGATGCGGCGCTGGACCTAGAGGTCAAAGCAGAGTGAACACAGCCAGAGGGTCTGTAGGGGTGGCAGGGTCAGAGGTGGCTGGGAGAGCAAAGGTCATAGAAACAGAGGTCAAGGTGAGGGCAGAGGCAGGGCTAGGATTTGAAGCAAAGCACTAGGGTGCGCTGCTTGGGGCAGGGAGGGGGAAGGAGGGCAGCAGGGACAGGTGCAGGACACAGAGGCCACCAGAGGCGTTCTAGGCGTGAGCAGGCAGCAGCCCAGGGCAGCCAGTGATGTGGGCACATTTCTGAAGGCTGCGGAACGGCCTGGGAGACTCGAGGAGGCTGCACTTGGAAAGGTCGGAAGACACAGGTGGTCTCCAGGAGTGGAGCACAGGCCGCTTCCAATCAGCAGGGTGACTCTGGGAGTCTCATGAATGAGCCAGGAAGGGAAGGGGTCTCAGAGGCAGAACTACTGAGAGGAAACTCCAGGGGAACAGAGGTTCCAAGGGCTTCACTCAAGGGGAAGATTTGAGGGGCTGACCCCATGGCAATGGAGGGATGGGTCGGGTTTGGGGTAAGAAGGCTGCAGTGTCAGAGGCCAGGGCCCTGGGTCCTTACGATGTGCAGCTGCAGGTAGTCTCCAAGGCCCGAGGCGCTGTCCACCCGCACCAGCACAGCGCTCCGCTGGTGCGTGCTGAAGCCCACGGCCAGGCGGTCCATCCTCGTGCTCGGCCGGTCATTGGGGGGCCACGTGTAGGTGATGAGCGCTCCCCCCTTCCCAAAGATGTATGTGGTCCCGGCTGCAGAGAGAAGGAAAGGGAGAGGGAGATGTGACATCAGGAGGGCAGACCAGCAGGCCTTCAGGGCCATGACCAGAGCACTGGGACACCAGGGTCAGGGTGTGGAGCCACAGCTGGGGTGCCCACAGCGGCCCCAGGCACTGCAGTCCCGGGGACCGGTTGGCAGGCGGGTGCCCGGGTGAGAGCTGTGCACACGCAGGGACAGATGTAGCTGCCTCATCCAGAATTCTGCCTTAATTACAGCAGAACAGAGGTAACAGAGGGAGTGCGACAGAGAGACAGCGAGCCCACGGAGAGGCTGCAGGCGGATCAGGAGGACTTTCTGGGGGCAGAGAGGACCCAAGGGGCCTGAGCCTGACCTGCTCAGCTTCTCCCAGGGCTGGCGGAGGGGACAGATCCAAGGTGTGTACCTCTGTGGGGCCAGCGCCCAGCAGGCGCCCCGGCAAAGGGAGCCCCAGGCGATAGCAGGAGGAGGAGCAGGGGCTGTGTTCAGTTCTGACTCACTGCCCTAGGCTGGCCCCCTTCCAACACCTGCCCCCACCTCGCCCAGCCCCTCGAAATCCTGGTCCCAGTCTGCCCAGCACTCCCTGCTTCTAATCGCAACTAGGGAGCTGCCTGGGTCCCCAAACAAGGGGGTCCTGGAGCCCTGCCTAGAAAAGAAGAGACAGACATGGGGGGGGGGGGCGACTGGGACTGACAGCCAGAGGAAGAAGAAGGCAGAGAGACAGATGGACAGAGAGGGACAGAGAGGGGTGTAGGTGAGAGAAAGCAGGAGAGTGGGAGCCCGAGATGAAGGCTCCTTCCCCTGCCCCCCCACCTCTCCCGTCTCCTCTTCTCCATCAGGCTGCCGGGGGCGGGTGTGAGGTCCCTAACGATCTCAGCCCCAAAATAGACCCCATTAGTCTCCATGTTCCCTCCTGCAGCGGACTGGGTTCCCTGGGGGTAGCGGGTGGAGGCTGGTCGCCCAGTCTCCAGAAAGGGAGCCTTAGCCAGCAGGCCCGGAGGACCCGTGCTCTGGGGCCTTCAGAGAAGGGAGACGACAATCCCGCATTCGTTAGAACCCAAAGGGAGCAGATGAGAGTCACAAAATGCTTAATTAAATAATTAGCTACTAATGACTCCTCTCAAAGCACTTCTTGAGGGGAGAGGGGTTCAAGGGGGATTTATCCAGAGAGAAAGAGAGGGACAGATGGGGCCAGAGGGCAAGAGCCTGGAGTAGACTGGGAGAAAAGCGGGGCCTGGGAGGTGGCAGAGCTCTGGGTGGGATGGAAGACCCGGGGTCCAGGAGCTGGGCTCTGGGTGGGCAGGGAGGAGCAAACCCGCTCTGCCAAGGTGGTAGCCCAGCTGCTAGCGCTCAGGCAGGGCCCCTCAAGCACCTCCAGGTCTCGCCCCCCAGGGGCTCAGCAGCCCCACTGTAGTCAGGCAACATAGTTGAGGGACAGGGGACTCTAGCCCAGGAAGTTCCCAGGGCCCCTCAGAAGAGTGGACTCCCAAGAGCGTTGGAGGAAGGCACCATCTGCTGTCCCAGGGAGGGCCGAGGAGGGCCGGCTGTAGCCTGGGTCCCCGGGAGGCAGTGGGGCCAGCAGGGCGCTGGGCTCAAGGGCAGCAGGGGCTCTCCCCCAGAGCACCTGTGGCGACGCCCTCCATCCCCCCAGGCAGGGCCAGAGAGGAGAGAAGATCCTGGGGGCAGGACAGGGGTGAGAGAACCAACCACTTGGTGTCTAATAACTGACACCTCGCCACAGTGCGAGTCCAGGAAGCACCTCTGGCAGACAGAGGGGGCCAGGCGCCCCTCCTAGCGGGGGCCCCAAAGGGCCAGTGCTGAGAGTTGATTCCTCAGTGTGAGACACCAAGACTAGGGTGGAGAGCTAGACGGGAGCAGGGCACAGAGGGAGCTGCACCCCCACCCAGGATGGGCCACCTGCCTGGAGAGGGCAGGGCCTGAAGGCCAGAAGCAGGGTACGCTTCTACCAGTAGTGATAGTCCCTCCACTCCCAATGCAGCACTCTGGAAAATTGGCTGTTTCCATGGCAACCATAATACCCAGGGTCCTCCCTACTCCCTCCACTTACTCACAACCGCATGGCCAAAATTGGGGCTGGAGGGGGACGGGGAGCTAAGATGCTGACCTTCCTCCACAACCCCTCCACCTTCCTCACCAGAGACTGCTGCCTCTTCACCCCCTGGGCTTCAGGGTCTCCCAGGGAGACAAATGAGGGGCTTATGGGGTTTCTTGGGCTCTCAAACCAGCAATGGAAATGCCATCTACCTGGGGCCTGCTCCAATTCTCCCAGGTCAAGGGGAAAGGAGGCTCTTTCTCCTCGCTTAACCCCTCTGGGAGCCCACACTGCACACTACCCTGGGGCGAGCCCTGCCTGAGCCCAGGGAGGGCCTGAGGGGCAGGCAGTCAGATGCCCCACTAGGCAGTGAGGCCCAAAGGACCAGAGTCCGAGTCGGCACTGCGAGCCCCAGGCCCCACGACAAACGTGCCCGCTGACACACCGGCAGGCCCCACACCAACGCACAGGCAGAGACGCACCGAGCTGCACACGAAGACCCGGCCTGGAGAGGCAGACCCCCCCACAGGAGACGCGAAGCACCCGGCACCCTGGCGGTGAGCACACAAAGGCGGGGCAGGCAGCGAGGGCAGGGGCTGGCACGTGCAGGGCAGGAGGGCGCATGGTCCCGCCCCTGAGACCCAGGGCGCATGGCCACCCGCCCACGGCCTCCCCATTTCCCAGCTCCAGAGCCAGGCCTCCCAGGGGATTTATGACCCAGCTGGTCCCACAATGCAGCCAGTTTATTAAGCTGGGCGAACCTGTAAAAGCCTAAGGGCATTTATTACACTGGGGGCGGGGAAAGATCCAGTGGAGAGACATACTTCTAGGGCCAGGGAGATGAAGGATGAATGGTTTATTGGACTGGGGCGGCAGTAATTACCCTGGAGAGACATTTCTCTCCCCAGACCCAAGCTCCCGCCAGAGGGCGCAGAGGGCCAGGTAGAGAGGACAGTGGGATTGGGGGGGCACTGGCAGTGTCTCTGCCAAGTGCCCCCTGCTGGGACCCTCCTGGGCCTCTTGCCTCTGGCCCTGCAGGCTGTCCTTTGCCCTGACCACCAGACAGAGTCCTAGGGGAAGGCACAGAGATAGGACGTCCAGGTCTCCACACCACATCTGGAACCTCAGAAAGGTTCTGGAAGGGGCCGTGGAGTTGAGAGGGACCTAAGCCAAGATGCAGGTGTTGTGCTGGGGTGGTCCAGACCACTGGTTTTGATCTCCCCAGGAAGCCTCTAGTGAGCGACATCACGCATCATATTTCAGGGCTGCCGCACACCCCTTAAGCCCAAGACGGAAGCACTCTGCTCCTCCACCCAAAGGCCTGAGGCTGGCACCCTCTGCCCACACCCAACACAGTCCCTTCAAAGCCTCCTAGACCCAGAAATTCACTGATCCAGTAAAACACTTTAAACGACCAAGAATCTTCCATGGAGTTCCCACACACCTGCGCTCTAGAAAAAAAACGACCAACCATTAGTGATGGTTAGCTAACCCAGACCCAAACAACACAATTATCTCGTGTAAACACCCCATGCGGCGATGCTCCCGTGGTTAAAACTACATGTGCAGACCCTCCATCTGCCCATCCTTCTGCAGCATCACAAGCCATAAAAATCTTCTCGTAGATCTAGAATCATGAGAACCGAAAGTCCCACACAATCCAGAAAAGCCATGCTCCTAGGTGCCCCTGGGGCCACCCCAGCTCTTGTACCCGGAGCCTCACAACCCGGGAGATGTCCATAAACGCAACCGTGAGGCTCAGCTCTCCCCTGATCTAGAGTCCCAGCGCAACAGCCCCTTCGATGTTCGAGCCCATTCCTGGCCATAAACCACCCAGTCAGAAATTTAAGATAACACACTCACATCCAGAATCCGAATAAATGCCAGCCCCCTTTATTAGCCAGAGGGATGAATCCAGAAACCTTGGAAGCTACTGACCCAGAGCTGAGCTGGGAGCAACCCCTCCATCCCTGGCTTTGGAGGGGACCAGAAATGAAGGTCGGGGGCTGAGAAGCTCCTCAAGGACTCTGAAACCAAAGGTGGGGCCAGGGACCAGGAGAGTGTCATCTCTCGGGCCATTTTTAGGGCCCAGGAATCCTGGTCCCCCTGAGCCTGGGCCAACATCAGGTGCAGGAGCGTTGGGAGCGTCTGGAGAGTGGGAGGGGTGTTATGCAATGGGGGGTGGGAGGGGTGGGGGACGGAGGGGTCAGTGGAGGAAAGGAGGAAGGGAAGGAGGAAGGAAGGCCAGAAGAAAGGCAGTAAGACCCCAGGAGGGGGACGTGGAGCAGCAGACGCATGAGAAGAGGCCCCCACACTGGGGGCAGGTGCTAAGGAGACACTGGGACAGGGAGGACAGGTCTCCCCTGGCCTAGAAAGGCCTCTCAAGCTGGCCTCTTCCTCCAGCCAGGCCTGAGGCCCTCAGAGAAGCCTGCGCTCTGCCACCCCCGCCCCATGGCTAAGGTGAGCAGAGGTGGGGCTCAGCCGCGGCAGGTAGGCTCCTCCCTACTCTTCTCTCTGCCCTCTGACCCTCCCCCCTCTCGCCGGCCCAACCCCTCCCCGGCCCCTCCACTCAATCTCCCACCATCTTCCATCCCTGTCCCGGGTGCCCTCCAGCTCCTCCTCTGCTTGTACGTGGTGCTGGGCAGACATCGGCCCTCCCAGGGCCATTCTCTTCCTCTGCCCAGCAAGGGGGTGGCCATCTCTGAGACAATCCCAGCACCAACATACCACAGGGTCCCCCACTAATGCTCTTTCCTCCATTTTCTCTCCTTCTTTCTCCGTTCTTTCCGACCTGACTCCAGAGCCCAGGCCCCTCCTTCCAATCTGCTCATCTCCCTGGGCCAGTGCCTCTCACCTTTCCCTTCCTCTTCGACCAACTCTCCTCTCCAACCCACAACGCCCTCCTCCAACACCCCTGCCGTGCCCCTCTCCTCTCACCCCTCT